AATCCGACACTGCTGGAGGGAGATCAGACGCAGAACCTTTACCTTTACTTCCTTTCCGAAGCACAAGGGTAAAACACTCTCTAACTCCGGCCTGCTACTGAGAATTTCATGACAGAAAAGTCCAATAACTCATTTTGGCTCGATCAAGGATTCGAACCCAGGACCACATGATCAGCAACCGCGTTTACGACCACTAGTCTAACGAAGCAGTTTTAAGTTTGATTAGAGTGATTAACTGTGACATTAATAGTATTAATAGCCATGTAGTAGCCCTGCCAGTAAAATAAATATATTGTTTCAAATTAATCCATTATCATGAACACAGTAAACAAATACCAAAAATGTACTTAACAAGACAACCCTCTTCTCCTCTTCTTCTCGTGTGCATGTACGTATTTACACATCGTTAAGGCACTTATCCCACCGCCTCGCCTATGAACAACGAAAAGCGGGTAGAGCTAGAAACTACATAAGAGTTAGCGAACACCGAGAAGCGAGTGTGTAGTTCCTATAGTGCTGTAGCTGGACTATAAGCGATTGTACAAGTTGTTCTAAACGCAACAACTCTGTTCTTGACGCCTCAGCAGTCTTGAAGGTTCGGACCTGTTCATTCTTTGGCTGCGCGCAGACAGCAACGACCATCCGCGCGTCTACGGGTGCCTCTATAAGTCCCATAGCGGTAATACCGAAACAGACCGACTCATCGACCACTACAGATTCCTACAGATTCCTTGTTACAACAGGTCCTATTCGCAGAGATCGTGATCCTTGGCGATTTCAACGCTCACCACGCTGAATGGCTCGGTTCACGTTTAACCGATCATGCGGGGAGATCTGTTTATGACTTTGCCTTGGTATATGGTCTGACACAACTGGTTACTTCGCCTACGCGGATTCCAGATGTGGAGGATCATACACCTTCCCTGTTGGACCTTCTGCTGACCTCTCATCCAGACGGATATCAGGTTTTCGACGATGCCCCTCTCGGCTCTTCGGCTCACGGGAAGTGCTCTGAGAAATTGTTCGGACTAATTCCAGCCGCCCAATTTCACCATCGTACATCGCAACAAAACTCGCGATACCATCCATACCATCTGGATGCTTAGCGTTCCACGACTGTGCGTTTTACTAGGAGTTTTCTTCCTCGTATAACTTTTCTGTGGAATTGTTTACCAGCGGCGATTTTTCCGGACCGATACGACTTAGGTACCTTCAAGAAAAGAGCTTACACCTTTCTAAATAGCCGGCAACGCATCTGCAATTCCCCTACGGTTTCGGTTGTTCATTGGCGGCGGCAGGAACTTACCATCAGGTGAGTCGCATGCTCGTTTGCCCCCTCTCCTATAAAAAAAAACTTCAGCCAAAATGATGACCTATGCTTAGAAGTGGGGTGTAACCAACGAACACTTACTGTTTAGGCCAAATCTTAACATTTAAAACTTTCATTCAAAAGGCTCGGTTCGGCGAGTTTATCCGATGGTACCAGTCACCGCCTGGCGCGCTACGAGTATTTGACGGCGTGGGCCGGCGGTCAGTGTCTTGCCCGCCGCGGCCGTATCGACGAGTCTGCAAATTACGCTCGGATCGTTAGGCCACGTGACGACCGCCTCTTGCGTTGTCTTTTTTGTGCGTTACGAGACAACGAGGCTCTTATTAAGTTTTTGATTGATTAACTTAACTTCGATTGCCATCAATTACGTCGACGAGTTGCTTGTGTGGCATTTTAATATTGTACGAAGACATTTTTCCTTTGTCGGTAGAACGCTAAAAATTTGTCACCCGAGAGGAGATCGCGTTCGTCTTCGATTATATTATGTGTTATTGAAATGTTATTGTGTGATTATAATTTTGTGCTAAGTGATGTTGGACTTGAGTTTACATAAAGGTGAACGCCCTACCAAGTGATCGCACATCTTTGGGGGCAGCGCAGCGCATGTGGGTCTGCTGTCCGATTACATCGGTGACGTCAGGTTACATTTACACACTTTCTCACACCACTTGCACTACCATTACTTAACCCCTGACTGTACTGTGTGGTCGACTCTACCTCCGGAACTCGGTAAGTTTGTGTTTGCTTATCAGCCGTTACTTAATAATTATCCATAGGTCATTTGGGCCCAAACTTTCTGGTTGCTCGTCGAGTGGACTACTCATGGGCCCTAGTCCAGTCGACTTCTATCGGGGCAACTGAGGGCCGTAACACTTACCCTAAAAGAGTGTTTCCAAAATAAGCAACACAGTATAATCATTTGTTCATTTTATATTTTATTTCCATGTCTAATCACATTCGTCTTGTTTAACTAAAACTATTACATTAACATAGCGTAAAGAAGTTCTAATACAGAAATCACACCTAAGAGTACAAGTTCACACTACGTACGAATTAATTCATAAATTAACTGAAAAATTGTCGAATTTTACCGCGGTCTTTGGTGATCGGTTGAGTGCGACATTGGATTAATAATGGTTTTTGGGTCTCAATATTAATATTGAAGTTTAATTAATACGTTACGTTATAAGAGTTAAGTTGGAGACTGGACAGTGAAATCTGTATATACAATAAAAATACATTTTACATTTACTTTACATAACATAAAATAAAATTCAATATAAAATAATTACTCAATTAAAAATAATTGTGAATGAGATCACCCTCTTTATAAAATCACATAAAAACATACGTAGTGTTTGTGAACTTTAACATCCTAAAGCATTATTTTTGATCGATAAAGAAACAGACATCGTTAAAGTAAAAACTTTCATTTTTTTTTCAATATAATTTTTGTACAACAAATTAATGATCAAAGTAACATTTGATAATAAGATACCCGAAAATATTAATATTAAAATAAACTAATAACGCAAATAAATTCGAAAAATGGATTCTCTCTTAAAGGTTTATATAAATTTTTACTACCACGCGAACTAAGAGAATAGGTTTGTCTAACTGATATTTCGCTTCCTTTGTACATTAACTTCAAGGGTATTATAACAAATGAACAAAAATATCAAAGTAAAACAAATATTAAAATTTTATTTATTTTTATTAGACTGTTATTAATTTTATCACAATTTAATGAAAATAAATAAATTTTAACATAAGAAATAGCGGCTTATCGTGATTTCTGCGATATGGAACAAAATTTTTTGTAGAAGATATTTTATTGTTAAAGTATTCGGTTTAAAATCTATGTTACATTTAAACAATATTTATTTATTGAATAGAAAACAAAAATGAGGGCCACAACTTTTGCTGCCACCAGAGCGGCGACACTTAAAAGAAAAGTAAAATATTTAAGCAGATTTCATAGCGGGAAAGTTAATATGTTGTAAAATTTTAAAATGTTATGTAACTTTCTGTACTATTAGTAATTTTTTTATTAATTTAATTAAAAATAAATAAACCAAACCGCAGATATATTAATAAAAGTAGAAAAATAAAAAGAGTTAAAAATGTGCAAAAAGTTAAAGAGCAAATCACAGGCATTGATTTGTGTACTAATTTTTTAATATAGAAACTGATAAATTTTTATTTAAAACTAACTTCTCAATTAAATGACAACAAAACAGTGTAACAAAAAAATTTTCCTGTGTCAGCTAGCGAGATCACCTGAGCGGAATATTCTTGGTCGTCATTCAAAACATATGGTACTTAATGTCATAAATACTTGATTTTTTTTATCAACATGACTTTTTTGCCAGTACTAATATGGGGATCACAGAGTTAATTTGTCAGCATACAATCCTATTCTCAATTTGCGTACACTATTGTTGGTAATTTACTTTTACAAATAAAACTTATCAAATCTTAATACTGTGTAAATCGTTTTACGGTTATCTTTAAATAGATTGTACAAAGTGTTACTCCTACGCTCTATGGAATGTAATTCTTTATTTACACTAGGTACATATTATACACGCCGAAAGGTAACTAACACTATATAACTACTTACTTCATAAATTGAAGGCACATTTTTTATACAGTTCACCTAAATTTATTACAAAACGCTCCGTTAAAGAAGCTATAGAAATCTAAGTCAGTAATAATGAAAACAGCGAGAGTTTTTTTTTCAATGGTGGCTTAAATTTTGATACTGTGTTGAAAAAATAAATGAAAAAGTATGTAAGTATACCTTTTAGTTCTCTGCTGTTTTTAATATTACTTATAGTATTGGAAATAGATCTTACTATATTTTTCATCACATAAGTGTTACTTAATAACCATTTTTCTGGTTTTCATCACATTAAGTGTTACTTTGGAAATATTTTTTTTTAATTTATTTTTATAATCTATATCTATACATCCACTTCGCTCTAGCCCTACCGCTTGCGTCCATTTTATGAAATAAAATTCTATGTCACTAATGTACACGTGTAAACATATTATGTCTATATATTATTTGGTAAAATTAACAAAATATAAAAAATCGCCTCCCAACTTCGCCAGGTATTTACGTACAAATTTTTCCTATACGAGTACTGACAGAGACAAATGTAAAAAATTATTACAATTATTTTGTTAAACCTCGTTCCACCCCCTCAGGGGTTGAATTTTTTTCCAAAATCCTTTCTTAGTGAGTGTCTACGTGGAGTATATATGCCAAATTTCAAGTCAATACGGCTCGTGATGAATCAGTGGTATTTCTCTCATATACATTTAATTACATATGGATATAGAATAATAATTGATGAATATTCTCAAAATTGTTTTCATAGATAATATTAAATGTTGTTACATAGTAATATTGTTTCTTTACTACATTCTATGTTTCACGGTTATTTTTTATTTATCTAGTATGTTACAGTCTTAAAAAACTTTCCTATTTTTACATCATTATAACACAGTACACAAATTCCATAGACCCAATCGCTCAGTACTCGGGCGCGATCCGCGGCGAGGATAGGCGTGGTGAGTGACGAGGCGAGCGGAGCGTCTCGCTGAGCTTCGAGCGGCGCGGCGAGCGGAGCGGTGAACGCAGCGCCTCGCTGGGCGCCGCGGGCTATGGCTTCAGTCGCTTGAAGCCCGCGCCGTCCTGCCCCAACTTCAACTCCTCATACAAGGTGGGCTCCACCTCGCGCGCTGTGCTCGCGTTTTGCAGCGTCTCTTGGCGCCATGCTGCACTGTTTGAGACGCTGTTCGCAGTGCCGTTAGGCCCGTTTGCGTTGCCGTTTGGCAGCGTACCCTGTTAAATTGAAGTTTCTTGAATGATTTTTACATGGATATATATTATTTCTATATGGAAATGAAAGAGGGGAGAGTGTTATGTCAGAATCGTGCCAAATGAAAGTCCGTACTTTCTGCCTACATTTCTGGGTGACAGGTGTAAGTAATTATATTCATTTTATGATTTTTTTAAATTAATCTTAACACGTTGAGAAACACTATGAAATGATTTGCGTGCTGCATACTGAGATAAGACATATGACTCCGTAAACGTTCCGTAATAGCCTATAAAGTCAACTGCTGAACCACAGGCTGAACATAAGCCTCCCCAAGCATAGAGTCTCATTAGGGAGATTTTGCCATAGCTGCCCTGCTTCGTGAGGGTTGGCAACTGCCGTTTTTTTTTTAAGTTTGAGTCGTTATCAGGCAGATGCTGTTTCTTATATCCTGTTTCAGTTTCCCTATTTCGCCTCTCACGACACACACGGAACGTTAAAGGATAGTGGATATTCTTACACCGCCACTGCACGGTTTATACACGGTCATATGACTTTGAATATAATATAATAAGATTTAGAATAAAAATAAATAAATGTGAATATGTTCGATTTTTTTGCACATCTTACCCAATGCATTTAAAGTTACGATAATTTTGTAGTACGCACATAGTACACATTTTGATAAGATGTTTCTGCATATTTATCTTAAACAGGGATATTTTCCCAAGAGTAGGCAAATTTTATATTTAAGTACAAATAAATAAGTTATTATATGCCGATATTACATTTTTTGAAAATACGAGTAAATAAGGCTTACTTTTATTTAAAATTATCCCAAATTTTATGTGATTTATGGGCAACAACTATGCGTACGTGCGCTCTTGTGTGTGTGATTTTATTTACAAAGTTTTTGCCTACTGTTTACTTTCTTGGTGACACGCCTATTTGGGCTTTGGATTGTCATAATAAATAAAATTAAAAAATATATTTTTGCATACCAACTACGTAACCGACGACTGTCATTATAATAGCGTATTTGAAAAAATGGAATAAAGTATTTACAACTAAATTACGCAAGTAATTCTAATTTAAAAGCCTAATATTGGTACCTCAAAATGGAATCCGTTTTTCTTGTGAGTATGTGAATAACGAACACATCACAAATTAAATAACCTTTTATTCATAACGTGAAAATAAAGTAGCAGTTCGGAGCGCGAACGAGCGGTCAAACGGTCGGATCGACTAGTGAGGCGAAAACAACCAAGCCGGTTGCTCACGCGCAGCCGACGCCTTTCCAAGATTGCCGAACAGTCGAACAGGGTTGTATCGCCAATTTCGGCGAGTTTGCAGACCATACTATAGGGCCTTCGTGCGCAGTCCGACTATCTTCATATTCACTATTTAAGTTATCGCTCACGGCACTTGAATAATTTGATTAGCTATCGTTTTTTCTTCGATTGCTAGGTACACTTGCGTTAATTTCTTGCCTGGGTAAAGACTCACTTTCGTATAATCTTTGCGCACCACGTGAATTTTCACTGCTTAAAATCTTATATCGTACCATTTCATAGTTTTAAATTACCCGCGGTTCGAATATTTTTGTTTCATTATTGTTAACGAAGCTTACGTATAGAAGTTACGTATAATGAGGTCACGGTCAACACTGTCAGCTGTCGGCCGGGCAAGCGGACGTAGGTACTTAGCGGTGTAACGATAAACGGGAAGGGCACGGGAAATGTGTGTATGAATAAAATAGTAGGCGTTAGATACTTATGAATAAAAATCAGTTATAGAAAATATTATATTACCACGTATTTTGAATTTAAAATATAAAAAGGACAGAATTTTGGAGACTTATTTTGATAAATTTTTCTTTACCATTAGCCTATATTACTTATTCTGAACATTCTCTGCAAATTTAGCCGTATATTGCATAATAACCTTGTATATCCAAAATGTTTACGAATATTACTCATTCAGGTAACCGTTAAAAATAAAGAATATAATACAAGTACTTACATTGCTTATGGTATCAGGATTTGTTTCTCTGAGGTAACTGGGGTTTTCAAATGCAACTCCTCCTTGTGATTTGAGTCTTAAATTCTGTAACAAAAGAGCATATTTTTAAATAAAACTGAAGTGTTAAACGAATTTACAGTACACCTGACGGTAAGTGGCTACTGCAGTCCATGGACACCTGCAGCTAACTTCAAACAAAGAGGTCTAAAAATGCGTTGTCACCTCTGAGGACTAAGATGGAATGTCTCACAGCCTGTAACTACAGTAGCTGTCTATACCTTTCAGATTGGGACACAGCAGTGCACGCAATGATATTTGGCGGCAAAAATAGGTAAGACGGTGGTACTTATACAGGCGGGCTCCTACACCCGCCTGTACAGTGGCCCTGCTGGACAAGGCCCTCACGGTTTAGTGTTCTGTAGCCTCCCCATCAACCCGACAATATATATTATAACATTAGTATTAAGTGTAGAATAACAGAACATTATAATTAAAGTCTTGAACTGAGAAACAAGTCTCCTTTTTCATTCAACTCTTTCCGTCATTACAATGGAGTACCGGCGTAAAATAGTAGCTTAATGATATTTCATGTTAGTATTTTGTATGGTAAGTGTGGATAATTGGAGACCATTTTTAATGAAAACGAGATCTTAGCTCTCAGAGGTGACAACGCATTTGTAGATCGCTTTGTTTGAAGTTAGCCGCAGACGTCCAATAATTTTTAACCTGTCGTTATTCTCTAGCCCTAATTGGTACATATACTAATGTTAAATAAAATAATTCCAGTTTAATTTAGCAGTTTTTAACCTATTCCATTTATATCAATTTCAACTTTAACTATATACCTAGTCAGGTCATAAGTATTGTCACACAGTAAAAACTTTTCTTTTAGAATGCTGGCCACAAAAAGTTTATTGAATTCGAATTTCGAATTGTTCATGAAAATAAAACTGTATACTTTTTAGAATTTTACTCATTTTTAAATATGGAGTGGACGCTTAAAGCAGACCGTGTTGCAATTATTGCGTTGCATCGTTGCGGTTACGCGCCAATTCAAATTTTTGACATACTGAAAAATTTGAATATAACCAAAAGATTCGTTTATCGTCCATCAAACGATACAATGAAGACTCTAGTGTAGATGAATGGTCAAGAAGTGGTCGCCCTCGGTCTGTTAGGACTCCAGCAGTGATAAAAGCTGTGAAGGCGCGAATTCAAAGAAATCCCAAACGTAAGCAGAAACTGTTGGCCCTTCAGATGGGGTTAAGCAGAACCACGGTGAAAAGGGTGTTAAATGAAAACTTAGGGCTTCGGGCATATCGAAGAAAAACAGGACATTGTTTGAATGCTCGTCTAATGGACCTGAGACTGAAGAGATGCCGCGCTTTGTTGAAGCGGTACGCGGGAAAAAAATATCGGGAAATTCTTTTTCCGGATGAATTTACCGTAGAAGAGAGCTACAACAAACAAAATGATAAGGTGTACGCACACAGTAGTGAAGAAGCGAGCAACCGTATTCCGCGTGTCCAACGAGGTCATTTTCCATCCTCGCTCATGGTATGGTTGGGAGTTTCTTATTGCGGCTTAACAGAGGTACATTTTTGTGAGAAAGGTGTAAAAACGAATGCAGTTGTGTATCAAAATACAGTCCTGACGAACCTTGTGGAACCTGTTTCTCATACCATGTTCAATAACAGGCACTGGGTATTCCAACAAGATTCGGCGCCAGCTCTTAGAAAGAAGAGCACACAAGACTGGCTGGCGGCGCGTGAAATCGACTTCATCCGGCACGAAGACTGGCCCTCCTCCAGTCCAGATTTGAATCCGTTAGATTACAAGATATGGCAACACTTGGAGGAAAAGGCGTGCTCAAAGCCTCATCCCAATTTGGAGTCACTCAAGACATCCTTGATTAAGGCAGCCGCCGATATTGACATGGACCTCGTTCGTGCTGCGATAGACGACTGGCTGCGCAGATTGAAGGCCTGTATTCAAAATCACGGAGATCATTTTGAATAAACTTTAGTGTCATAAGAATCTATGTTTTGTTAAGTTCATTTTGGTATATAAATGGTTACATAATGAATAAACTTGTTTCAATTATTTTATATTAAACATGTGACAGAATTTATGACCTGACTGGGTACATTCATATCCTTTGCGTTAATTTTTTTAAGTTATCGGAGACAGTCTTATGGATCGAATTATTGTTTATTATTTAGTACACAACTTCATTCATTCGTTGGTTTCTAAATTGTTATTTTTCTGTATAAAGAGTTAACTAGAGCTTTCACAGCGATACCACTGTATGTTGTACCAAATAATTAAAAATTAAAAATTTTGTACAACTGACTTCAATATAAACTATTAAGAATAATTCAAAAACTATTAGTCAGACCTTGACCAAATTTATACGAAACTACATGAAAAGCACCAGCTTTCAAATGATAAAATAATTATCAAAATCGGTTCACCTAGAAAAAAGTTATGAGGTAACACACGTAAAAAAAAGAAAGAAAAAACATACAGTCGAATTGAATACCGTCTCATTTTTGAAGTCGGTAGATAAATAGTAAGAAGTAAATTGGTTATTTTTCATTAGTTGATTATATGTGGTATTTAAATGCATATATGTATTTCTACCCTCTATCAACAGTGCGTTCGTTTTAGTTTTAAATTTCTAAGGATATGAAGAACCATTCTATATAAGTTCTCAGAGGTGACAACGTATATACATATATGTAGTGTTAAGGTGTTCAGTGCCCATTTAGCATCAGGTGTTCGAAGGGTTCAGGAGCCGTTATATTTATATCTCCAGAGGTGAAACGCATCTGTAGTGTTAAGTTGTTTATAGGTGTTCAGTAACTATTTATTATCCACTTGGGACTGATAGTTCATAGTAAAAATATTTTTATTCGAAATTGGCCTTTATGAAGCTCTTTTTAACCGACTTCAAAAAGGAGGACGTACTCAATTCGACTGTATGTTTTTTATGTGTGTTACCTAATAAATTTTTGCTAGGTGAACCGATTTCAATGATTTTTTTTTATATCTGAATGCTGATGCTTCTCATTTGATCAAGTTACAACTATTAGTTTTTGAGTTATCCTTAAAAATTTATATTGGAGTCGATTGTACATAATTTTTAATTTTACCACATCATGTTGTCAAGAAACGTACGCCATATCTTCAACAAGTCATTTTGCGGGAGACCATCTAAAAAGATGCGGCGAGAAGCTGACAAGTAGAATATTGCCCTTATTCACAAACATTTCTTTCTTCAGTTTGGGAGCAACGTTTCGATAAGACAAGCTATTAATTTTAATGAACAATATTCAAAGGATTCTTTGATGTGTGTACGTAGCATTTAATAAGGTGCCGCAATTGGTTAACGTTTGAATGGTTAAAGCCAAGGTTGTCAGTGGGCAATTGATCTTCTCTTCGCTATTTTTTAAACAAAACAAATTAAAAAACATAATAAGAATTCAATTCAAATCACTGAGGTAATCAACAAAACAAAATAAAAATATATATTCTATTAAGACTTCTACCTATACAACTAGACAAGCACTACGTTACTATAAGAGAGTTTTTATTTTATTCTGAAATATAAATTGTTTGAATGTGTGCACCTATACCGTGCAGTTGCATTGATGACACACTATTTTCTTAAGCCGATATTACACGAATCAACCAAATTGAAATAATTCCTTTGAAAAACATTGAACATTGCACATTGAACGGCTTTACCAATATACACGTAAATTATTTAAATGACGTTCAATGTTCACAGCGCAATGAGATGTCACGCCAACTCGTACGTGAGGGAATTTCGATATACTGCTACTATTTAATAAATGAGTTGCCTAATTAAAAAAAAAGAAAATTTTGGTGTTGGTGGCTGCGTCCGTGGATTTCGAGAAGGATAACTAAAGGAACCTGAAGCACATTATTAGTAGAATTGGCAGAAAAAGATTCAAATTCTTATTTGAACCATTTGCGAATGACAGAAAGTGAATATAATGAACTTCTTATTACCCATTTTCACGCCACTTGAAAACCATTTTCGAAAATCCATGTTCGCACGCGAAATAAGTGTCGTGCGGCGCATGGAATGAGTCATCGTTCAATCTTCATGTATAAACGTTTCAATCGCATTGAACAATGACCAATATTGTTACCATTGCATTGATAGCGTTCGGTGAATTTAAGCTTTCAATGAGATTGCGCAATCGCATTAAAATGTATTTAGATGTCTCAATGCCATTGAAGTAATAATTGAAATATATAATAATAATTGAAAGCAGTATTGAACCGAAATGGATCGCGCCATGTTACGGTTAACTCTCCGTAACTTTATTACTCGATTGCGAGCGGCTAAGAAGACTAGTTCATTGTTTTGTAAAATGCGAACGTTGTTTTTGACAATCTAACACTGATTTTGTTTCATTTGACTAAGAAAACGCTGTCATTATTTATATTGACATTTTGTTAAAGCTTATTTCAGACATGAATGTAACTTTATTTCGTATTCGCTTAAGAACAGTAACTATCATAAATGAAAATGCAACTGGTTGACATATTTACCACGCCAACTACCTACTCGCATGATGCACGGTTGTGACACAGTTTCTGTTCCGAATTGCCAGTGTAGTAGTATATATAGAAGTCTTTGATATACAGCTCATTTGACACTGAGAATAAAAGAAATTCAAAGTAGAGTTCGATTGTGTGAGAGGAGGTTACCTTCCGATGCCTGTAATAGAAGGCGGCGGCGAGGAGCAGTGCGGCGACGAGCAGGCAGGCGACCGCAGCACCCACGGCGGACGCGCCAGCGCCTCCCTCCCCTGCGCCCGCGCCCGCCGCGCCCGCCACCCCCGCGCCCTCGCCACCCTCCTGCCCCGCCGTCGTGAATATGATCGGCGCGCTCAGCGTCGACGTGCCTGCACCACGCGTGCTCACATGTATTCAATGTTAAGAAAAAAAAACCCTACCTATTAGGACCGCGAATTTGAATGTAGTTGGTTCGAATCCACTATCCGATTACTGTCGTAAACCACTCCTAACACAAACATTTTAAGCTTACCAGGAGTAGTTAAATGGCATATAAAAATGATATTAACATTGCTAACATTAATAGCAGTGCTAGTATTTTTTTTTATTAAAATATAAAGGCTGGTGACCTACCTACCTATACAGGTTTTAGGTTAGGAACCAGATTTTCACATATCATTAGTATTGTTTCAGATGTAAACATTCATTGTTGCTCTCTCAAACTTCTTAAACTAACTTCCCGATGACCTAGAAACTTGAACATAACTCTGATGACAATGTAAAAATAAAAAAAAACGTGATAAATGAAAAAACTTGAAAATTTCACTTGTATTGCATATGATTGTTGTAAAGAAAATAATTAAATGCACGGTAGAAGTACAGCGAGAATCCATGCTGACGATACGACGAGCTGTGGTAGTTCGATGACTAAACGTTCGCTGTAGATTTCACATACACGACCTACTCGGGTATTCCAGCCGGCACCAATGATATAGTTAATTGCAATTTTTTAAAACGTAAAAAAAATGTAAATTTGTTAAATTTTTTACGTGGTAGAGCCATGCTGCAGCTATATTATAGTATGTTCCTAAAGCAGATGGAAAAACGTACATTGACCTTTGACGATATCATCGGGGTAGCCAACCTTTTTCTTTTTATCCTTGTATCATTAAACTCATCGTCAGAGTGAAAGATAAGAGTGTCGAGTACGAAGTTCTTCGCAGATCCTGTGTCTATTATTTTATTATGAAGAAATAAGATTATTTTGTACTTATATGAATTAACAAGCAAACTAACATTAATTTAAATTTATTATTTATAAACCATAAGAGTTAATACAAATTTAATTATTACGTTAACAGTAGGTAAGTAGTGTAATAAGTAGGTAGGTAAGTAGTTGTACAAAATATAACCACTTCTTGACAGTGGCAGGCAGCAGGGTAAAATGGCGAACTTTTAATGCATTCTTTAGCAATCAACCCTTTTGTAACTATTTCAGAATCATTTTCTAATGATAAAGACGTGAAGAAGTTCGCCACATTGATTATAAAACTACATTCAGTTTTATCAATGGCATTATCCAATTCATTTAATTTGTTTTCTTCTTTTATGACGTAGTTAATGCAGTTTTTTCACTTTAAATGGTCAACATTGTATAGCCATTCTTCAAATAGCTTTTGACGTCTGCCGTTTTAAAAGTGGTATTGTTTCGATTTAGATTTGTTATCTCTGAATGACCGCTTCCTTCACCCCACCCCGTACTATGAAACACGTTTAGCGCATAACGATATGTAATCGATAATGAAATGTATGGAAGCAATACCTGTCGTTTTGTTTCGGTGCTAACATAATACTTTAGGTCAATGCACGTTTTTCCGTCTGCCCTAGAAACATAGATACTATAGTAGTAAAGTTGTAGCACGAACGGGTCGGCTCGACCGGGGAAAGACCACGCTCTCACAGAATACCAGCGGAAAATAGCTGCTTAAAACTGTTGTGTTTCGTATGGGTAGTGTAGAGAACCGGAGACCATTTTTACTGGAAAAGAGGCATTCTATCTTAGTCCACGCGGCTGACAACGCATCTGCATTTTAATTCGCAAACGAAGATAGATGTAGATGTCTATGGATCACAGCAACCACTTACCATCAGGTGGACTGTGTGATCGTTTGTCACCCTATCCTATAAAAGAAAAATTTAAATGCTGATTTACTACGTGCCCGGCGGTGAAAGAAAACGTCATAGAAAACCTGCGTGTAAAAGAAATTTAAAGCAGCTTGGCAGATTAATTACTTTCAGAATCGAGAGGAGTGCTGTGTCCTACCGTGGCATGTAAAAAGGTTGTAACTTTTCCGTTGGTCTTATGCTGCCTGTATTATACTTCTACACTTTTAATTAGGTATCACTTGGTCTAGAAGGGATATTTGTCATAGTTGCCACGCTTGGCAAGCGAGTATACAAACGTATTTTCTTGTGGGAATCTATATGAGAAGCCTATGTTCAGCAGTGAACTTGCTGGGCTGTAGTGATGCATTTGTGACCCATGGGGGTTCGTAGTATAACCTTGCAGAATGACGTAGTAGAGCCACGCTGCGATACGATATGGTTGCAGCTCGAATATGTCGTCTCGATCGGGGAAAGACTACGCTCTCACAGAATATCAGCGTAAAATAGCAGCTTGATACTGCATCGTATGGTGAGTGTAGATAACCGGAGACCCTTATTAATGCAAAAGAGGCATTACATCTTAGTCCTCACGGGTGACAACGCATCTGCATTTTGATTCGCAAACGAGGATAGATGTAGATTTCTATGTGTCACAGCAACCACTTACCATCAGGTGGACTCGGTGCTGTTTGTCACCTTATCCTATAAAAAAAGAATACCTGCGTAAAGTAACAGCTCAATACTCTTAGTTTCGTATGTTAAGTGTATTAAACCAGATACCCTTTTTAATGGAAACGGGGCATTCCGTCTTAGACCTCAGAGGTGACAATACATATCTATGTTTTGTTTCTTAATCGAAGATAAATGTAGATTGTTTATGGGCCATAGCATCCACTTACCATCATGTAGAATATGTGCTCATTCGTCGCCCTAAGTGTATAAAAACATACTTGACAGCATGAAGCTGCCACACGAGCAACATCTTTATATTTAAAAATGCCTTACCAACATCGTTCGCGGCTTTCACCACGCACTCGTAGCGCACGTCATCAGCTAGTCCGGTGAGGACTACGCTGGTCTCACTCGTGTCGAGTTTCTCGGGCACCTTCGCACCGTACGCCCGCCAGAATACCCGGTACAGGTACACCGTTTGTGGATTTTTTATTGGTGGCTCCCAACTGTTAATAATATTTTAAGGTTACAATTTTAGTAGTAGGAAGTTAATTTGTTCGAGAAATGTAAAGGTTAATGTTTCTTTTTGAAAAATTAGTATAACTTTATATAAATTTGATTATAAATGGATAAACTAAATAATAGATACAACTAAGAGCAGAAAAATTAAAAAGAAAAGTCATATTTGTTTGTTTTTCTGTCACAAATTATTGCTTCTCTTTAACCCCTGAATATATAAACACTAATAATTCATTTATTAATTATACCAAGCGATAGTAAGTATACCTACTAAGCATAATCTGTTATTTATGTTTATTTTATTGTGTTTATATTTATAATGTGCCTTTATAAGAATCAACATTTGATAAAATGGTTGTTCACGGCAGTGTCAACATCGACATGTGACGACTGTACGAGTACAAAGCGATTCAAATAAGAATAGGAACGTCAATGACCTCGAATGGCCGCGATCTTTCAACTGTCATTTGAAAAGTACAGTTTGCAAAGAAAGGATTTTTTTTTACTTTTATATATATAACTGAATTTTAATATTACAAAACCTATTGAGGTCATAATAAGATTTAAAAATAATTTAACTTTTTTCTATTTTCATTGTTGGCAACATTTCGCCATAAAGTAAAATAATAAATTAATTAAATAAAGAAATAAAATGAAATAATTAATTAAATAACTTAAATTAATTATTTAAGTACTAGTATCCGATTAAAACATTTTCTTTTATGGTTCTTTTTGTTAAAAATATCTGTTTTGCTCACCCTACCTAATCGGCTTAGATTTACAGCTATAACGTGACAATTTGGCGCCAGGTGAGGCGTAGTATCGCGGTCGTGTGCGGTACCTGAGCAGCACAGCGTGCGGCGTGGGCGCGGCGTGCGCGCGGAGCTTGCGCGGCGGGCCGGGCAGGCGCGCGCCCGCCTCGCGGAAGCAGGCGAGCGCGCGCCGCGCGTGCTGCAGCGCGCACGTGCGCGACGCGCCGCCGCCGCGGCACAGCTCCAGGCAGCCGCGCGGCACGCCCCACGACGCGCAGCACGCGCGGTGGTCTGGCACACGCACATACATCAACATTTACAACATACATTTCAAATAACATGGTGAAAACCACGTGAATATAAAATATCCTCCAGAGCAAATTACAATCATGGCGACCTATCTCAACAGAGACTTGTTATGTCTATTAGAAACACAAGTAAAAATTGAGAAAATAAAGACTTGAATAAAATATAAAATAATAATAATAATAATACTAAAATATAGTACATGAACTAAACGCTGACACACACAAACTCTAACTGAGTGTAGCTGTGACAACAGTAACTGTCAGAACAGTAACTGTGACTCACTTACGTGGAAGTGGAAAAGGCGCTTTAAACCCGACATGTTTTGCATCATGTAAAGCATAAACAGAAAATATATTTTTTAGATCGACTTATTCACAACAAACTGTCCTTGCTATAAAAGAGACACATGCATAATAGTGGACTGGACCGTCGTATGAACTGATTGCTTTATGGTCTGATAGAGAAAAAGACGATTAAATCTAAGTAAATATGAATAAATCAGAAAATTTCAGTTTTTTATAGAATAAGTGTGTCAAGTGAGCATACAGTCCACCTGACTGTAAGTGGATGCTGCGGCCCATTGACACATCATACATAGCTACATCTATCCTCGAATAAAAATCAAAATGCGTTGTCACTCTTGAAAACTATGGAATGCCTCGTTACTAATAAAAAGGGTCGTGATGAAGAGGTGATTCCGTTATTACTTACCAGATCCGTCGGCTGCACACTTCATTAGTTTGTCAAAGTCGTCCATGCACTCGGGACGGTCCATAATATTGTCCATATCCAAATGGAAGCTGCAGGCGTCGATGCATGCTGATGATACGTTCATCTGTTTAGAAAATGATAATTGTTGTTTATTTATTTAAAATACGATTATACTTAAAATAAAATATTTATAACTTTACAAACAGTATATAATCACAGGCCAGGCTTAGTGCTAAAAGAAATCTTTGCCAATCAAACTTAGGGCAGTGATAACACTACCAAAATTATTACAGAGAACATAAAAAATAAAAACGTTAAATATGATAAAATTAATAATTTATACATTCATTATTATTTTTTTTAAAAGCCTTACCCGATCACTAGGATTTTCTCCTGTATCATAGAGGCAGTTAACAAACATAAATTGCACAAAGACAAACATCAAGACCCGGAACATTTATTTGTAGGCCATACAAGTACTTGTTCCGTGCGGGATTCGAACCAGCGCCCAGCGCTGCAAGTCATTGCTAAGCCACTGCGCCACGGAACTTACAAATAGAAGTAAATAATTTTCATTTTATACGACTTATCGCGGTGGTACACGATCACTTTAAGAACTAATTGTAAAAGACAAATTAATGTGAAAGTATTCATTGCAGTAAGGTAAACATGTTATTGGAAAATCACATAAAATGAAAATTAGCAGAAGAAGAAGTTATGCAGAAGATCATGAATATAATGAAAGATAGTTGCTGCATATGCGTACAACGAGACAAAGTGGAGCAACACTGACATAAATTTTTGGTTTTTAAAACCATGGTTATTGTACTTACAAATAATAAAATTTTAAAGTATTCACTTTACCCTTCTTTTCTTTCTTAGCGAGAAAATGTTATTTTTAGACGCTGCAACCCATCTCGAAATCCCGATGTGTCATTACCATAAGAAAAACAGCTGCATCTGCTCCTAGCAATTTGTTTTGCTAGGTCTCCTTTGCCGAAAGAGCTGACCCATTCGTTGTACAGCTCTACTGCGTAAGAAGTTTTATTGATAACTTACCTGTCTGCAACATTCTGTGACGTTGTGGTGAGGTGTGGTCGGTCTCAGTCGGACGGAGACCGGCCTTAAAGTCTTTCCGAATGCGTTTTCCGCGTGACAGAAGTAGTCGGCCTCGTCCGCTTCCGTTATCTTCTTGATTGTTAACCGCATGGTGTACTTGGTGTGATCCTAGACGAAAAATGTTTCCGTTTTATATAAAAAAAAAAAACAACAATAAAGCACAGATCTAGTGAAACGAAAAGAACAATTTGGAATCTTGATTACATTCTAAACTATAATCAAACTGTGTTGTGAAGAAATGTTTCAACCCACAAACACAAAGTTATTCAGATTTCAAAGATAATTTTTTTTTTTGTAAATAAAGATAAAAATATTGTTAAAAAAAAAGATAAATTAATTTTTCTTATAGCAGAAGCCCTGTTATATCATACGAGTAATATATGATTTTGAAGAAAATTGAATGTAGATTTTGGGATTACTAGTTATTTTTTAGAAATATTTCATTCTTAGAAATAAACCGAAAAAGGAGCCTCTGGACAAAGACTTCTAAGTAGATCGGCAATCCAGAACAAAAACTGAGGTACAACTGTGAATCGTGCGAGCTAGCACGGAAATACGCCACGCAAGATGGCAGTTGAATTTTTATTTAATACAGTTACTGTTTTTAGGCAAATACAAAATAGTTTATTTTTCTCAGTACGAAATAAAGTTTTCACAGCGTTTTCTTAGTCACATTAAACAAAGTCAATGTAATGGCCCGGCTACATGCTCAATCTTACTTGCACCATTGAGTTATATGTACTACGTACTAGAGAAGCCATTCCAAACAAAAATTGTGTCCTACTCTATGTCTTGCGCGAAGACTTTAATTTGATATAAAATAAGATATTAATATAAAATAAATATAAGAATTTAATATAAAATATCTTAATTTAATCTAAACCAACATATTTCTAAATAAAATGTAATAATAATTATTATATGGAATTCACAAATCTTCAATTTACGCAATATTTAGTTTGTACGGATTGCACTACAGTTCAGTTGAACATAGTCAATGTTCGGAATGGCTTCTCTAGTACATAGTACATATAACTCAATGACTTGCACAAATTCTAATTTGCACAAGCAAGCATGTACATTATGCCGATAAAACGGTAATATATATAAAAGTACCAGCTTTCAAATAAAAAAGGAATCATAGAAATCGTTTCACTCAGTAAAAGCTATGAGGTAACACACATAAAAAAACATACAGTCGAATTGAATACAGTCTCCTTTTTGAAGTTGGCAGAAAATGTAGTGTTCTGCCTATCTTTATTTGTTGGTTTAAGCTTTTATTATTTAATTAGATGTGAACATTGTGAGCAATGCAGTAAACAGGGATTTATCCAGCTGTGTGCTGTGCCACGCTAAATTTAGGCTATAGTAAAAATAATGCAATTAAATATTCTACATTCCATAAAGATTTGCAATCTGACAACAATTGCCTGAGAGAGTGACGGGCCTCTGAAAAAAGCAATGTATTGACAGCGCCTCATGAATAATAATGAAGTTGTGGGAAATTGGATTACCATAAAAATTAAAATCGAATTTAAATGACTTTACTCGCTTTGATAATTAAATGACGGAAGCAGTGTAAAACGTAGGTAAAATAACATAAATGTATTGAAGAACAAAAGCCTCTTGTAAACTAATTTGGATGCTTCAACGGTTTGCCATGCGATAAATGATTATAGATAAATATTGTATTGCCATAAGAGACAACTAAGCTGAGATGCGTAATATTAGGAATTATTTAGAGTGTGAAGCCACATTTCTAAAGTTATGGTTTTTCCCCGGCGATTTAGAGAAGAGCGTACTCGCTTTTAAAAGGCTGGCAACGTATCTACAATTCCCCTGGTGTTGCAGTTGTTCATGGGCGGCGGTAATCACTTACAATCAGGTGAGCCGTATGCTCGTTATGCCCTCTCCTATAAAAAAAAGATTATGTATGCGTAGGTTCTGGATGAGGAGGCGAGGCTTTTTCTTTTATATTAATAATATTTGTAAAAGAGAATTCTCGTTTGCAAATATTATTTTTATATATCTAATTAGAAAGGTCGTTTTCACAGCAGATCGTTTATGAATAGACCCTTTTTAAGAAAGGACCAAATTTTTCGTTTTTAACAACGGTAAAAAGCCAAGTTTATTACTGGAATAATACTATAAAATATTTAAAATCAATTCTATTTTATTTTAGCACGTTTTTACCAACTTTTTATTAACTCACTTTCGTGCATGTCTGTTCGGAACAAATTTAGTAATTGTTTTTAAACTAACTTCCCGATTGATTTTAAACTGACTTTCAGAATCCGATGACTATGTAAAAATAAAAAATTTTTGTATAAACCCATAAATGAAATATTTAAATTAAATACAATTTTCGCTTATTTCACTCACCTCTGGATCTGCCAGCAATTGTATTGTGTAGTTTGGTCCGTCTATAACCGGAGTCCTACCGTTGGGATCTCTCCAGAAGGCGATCGTGGGTTTGGGCAGTGCTTCCACGCGACATTCTAATATCACTGAATCTCCAACTGCCGCCATCGTTATCCCAGACGCCTGGATAGTTGGCACATCTAAAATAAATATAAATTTGGGTAAGTTTGAACTGTGCTGGTCAAAAATGCTGCACCTAAATACAGAATACTGGTGATAGGGAGCAGCAGATATACGTGGTACCATTCTCGAACAAAATACCAGCATCATAATGCTTCTTTGTTGCGTTTGGCGAGTGTAGAGAACCAGAGACCCTTTTTACTCATAACGTGGCATTTCATCTCTACCTTCAGGAGTGATTACGGATCTGCATTTTGATTCTTAACAGCTGATAGATGTAGATGTATATGGGTCACAGCAGCCGCTTACCATCAGCTCATCTATGCACTCGTTTGTCGCCCTTTCTTTTATTGATTATTCACACTCACCACATAGGACTGGTGATAGTACCTTCGTTCTGGTAATGCTGCCCCCTACCACTAGTCTTGGAGATTTGTTTTTTTTACAGTATTAGGGTGACAAACGAGCACGCAGACCACTTGATGGTAAGTGGATGCTGTGGCCCATAGCATCTACATTTATCCTCGATTAAGAATCAAAATGCAGATACGTCGTCACCCCTGAGGACTAATGTGGAATGCCGCGTTTCCAGTGAGAAGGTTCTCCAGTTCTCTACACTCATCATACGAAACACAGCAGTGTTAATCTATTGACGCTGGTATTCTGTGAGAGAGTGGTCCTTCCCCGGTCAAGCCGACCCATTCGTGCTACAAATAAAACTGCAGCGTGGCTCTACCACGTAAAAATTGATTTGGGGATTTTGCATTGTTTCCCCACCATCCCGTTTATACTTATTGGAATTCAAAATAAAGATGTAAAGACAGAATACCTAAGTAAGATTAAGATTTTACTGTCACCAGCAGTTTTTTCCATTACAGCCTATAAAAGTCCATTGCTGAACATAGGCCTCCCCTATAGGCCTCATAGGTGGCACTCTTGGCAGATGGATTGGCAATCGCAGTTTTTTATAGTTTTTAGTTATCAGGAAAACACTGCAGCCCATGGCTTGTTTTTCCTTTGTCGCCTCTTACGTAAACCCCGCTACGATATGGGTTTAATAACATCCGCTACATGGCAGTTTTTCCGGAACTTCAAGAAAGTGTCTACTCATTTTAAAAAGTCGAGATGTTTTTTTACGTGGTAGAGCCATGCTGCAGCTATATATGTAGTATAGTTGTAGCAAGAATAGGTCAGCTCGACCGGGGAACGACCACGCTCTCAGAATACCAGCATAAAATAGCAGCTTAAAACTGATTTGTTTCGTATAGTGAGTGTAGATAACCGTAGACCTTTTTTTTACTCACGGGTGACAACGCATCTGCATTTGGATTCGCAAACGAAGATAGATGTAGATGTCTATGGGCCACAACAACCACTTACCATCAGGTCGACTGTGTGCTCGTTTGTCACCCTGTCCTATAAAAAAATGTGACTGTACCTGCCACTCCTATGGTATTACGGATATTCATGAGTGGCGGTAGTCAGTAGGTAACCACACTTACCGTGCTGAATGAGCGTGTGGCTCACCTGCATCTTCTATTAAAAAAAAACTTCGTAGGAAGAGAATACTTTTTAAATATTACTAACGTGATATGTTGATCTTTCTCGACGCCTGCATGGGTGTTCCGTAGCCGTTGTCAGCGTAGCAAGAGATCTGGTCCATGTCGCGCGTCACGTTATGGATCACGGTCACCATGTGCCTCGTCACTTCCTGCCTGACTAGATGGCCTGTGAAAAATACATTTATTATAGTCATGATAGGGACGTGAAATTTATGTCGAAAAGACCAAACAATCGATATTTTTTTTTTTAACTTTCCTACTTCGCTTCTGATTTTTTATATCGGTATTTTATTCCTAATCAAGAATAGAAGTAAACTTTGGTGCACAGTAACAACTGCTAAAATTAAAAAAAAAATGTACAACCGGCTTCAATATAAATTAAATCAATTCATAAATATAAACAAAAGTTATGCCCGAATTTACTTGCAAGGTACCTCACCTAACCTAAATAACAACTTTGACAGAAATGGGGGTGTACCGTGGTATACTGAACACATCTGCGTACCCCTTCAGAGGGTACAGGCGTGATGTTATGTTGTGTGATTGCGTAAACAATGCATATATATGCGATAGCAGGAATCGCGGTTCATTTGTTGGTATTTATCGAAGAGTTTCGTTGTCTCTCTCCGAAACTCATCAACAGATCTTGACGAAATTTAAAGTGAAAATTTATTTAAAAAATAATAATAATAATGTCCTCGGGATCGAACGTTGGACACGGCGGCCAGCCTCAACGGAGGCTAGGCATCTGTAGACAGAACAGGATAATAGTGCAAGAGTGTATGCACAGGTGCGCTCTTAATTTCCTTACTCTCATATAGGACGACACAACCGGATCAGCCCAGTACTAACAACAGACTACTTGTTTCCGAGATACGGAGGTGAAAAACTTATTTTGGTCCGACCCGACATTCGAACCCGAGTTCTAGAAATTGAGGTAGTAATTTGGAAAATATTATAAAATTACAAAGAATAGCTTAAAATATATGTTAATTAGAAGTTTTGAAAATGACCTAAAAAGTCAGCCATTATAATTTTTATTACCAGCTACTACCCATTATTATTAATTTAATAGAAACACCAACAACATTGATATATTTCACTTATTACAAAATTTAAAATCGACAAAGCTATTCTTATTTATATATTTAAAGGTGTTATATGGCGCTTATGGACAAATGATAGTCACTCATAAGTTACGCTAATCGTATAATATTTCTATGTATATATATATCTACATTTAAAGTGCCGAAGGGAAACATCTTGAGGAAGTTGACATGCCTGAAAAAATTACATTTCGAGTACATGTGTACTCTGCGAACACGCTCCGAACATCGAGGCAGGCTCTACCTTGCTCTAACTGTTATTTTCTAGAAATGAGAGAGGCTTGAGTTTTCTTCCTCGCACAACTTCCTTAGAACCGATACGGATTAGGTACCCTTCGAGAAAAGAGTCTACTCTTTTTAAAAGGCCGGTAACGCATTTGCAATTCCCCTGGTGTGGTAGTTGTTCATGGGCGGCGGTAGTCACCATCAGGTGAGTCGCATGCTTGTTTGACCCCTCTTATATAAAAAAGCTGTGAGACGTATATAGCCGGTTACTGTTCTTTTTCTACCGACTTCAATAAGGAGACGGTACTCAATTCGACTGTATTTTTTAATGTAATATTTATATTTATGTCATAACTTTTTACTGGGTAAACCGATTTCGATGATTCTTTTTTGAAAATTGGTGTTATAGTTTTTGAGTTATTAATTTATATATAAGTCGGTTGTACAAAATTTTAAATTTTAAATTATATTATTAAACTATGATGTGCTCAGAGAATACACTTACAATATCGATTAAAAATAAGTAACTGGGACTTGGTTATAATTACAACTTACCAGATATGTATAATGAAATGGTCGGTGTGGGAGTGCCCATTGCGATGCACAGTATCGTCATACTGGATCCTTCCACCACTAAGTTGACTGGATTCACTGCTGGTGGCTATGGGGAAATGAACAAGATCTTAATATAAAAATGGTTTGTAATATTTGGGGAGATCTCCCACCGGGCAAGGCGCTTTACCAAGGTGTGTATTATTACGGAGCTATTTTATATATAGCGCGTTAACTCCAGAACTTTGATAGCGCGATTTAGGCTTCGGTGCGTTTCACTTAAGACGCGACGACAGCGCCACTACAAGTGTTAAAATTATTGTGCTAAAATCCGGGTGAAATAATTAACCGCTCTAAGCTAAAATCTATTTCTCCCGATGATGCCTCGCTTAGAGGTGAAACACCTGTCGTATTATAGTAGGTAGTGTGTCTTTCCTAGTGTAGTTGTGTTGGGAATAGTGATGATGGGGATAGTGAACGCAGTTGGAGGGAGGGCAAGATGCTCTTCAAACTAGGGGAACGTTTGTTTCTACAGTGAATACGACAAATATATATATTTTAATAATACTATTAACGGCATTAAAATTACTAATATTCTCGTTAATCATTCCAATTACGCTTAAGATACTTGTTTATTTATTTATTTATTTACTAACTCACAATTGTTATTACAGGAGTGGAGCCTAATGCAACAATGTGTTCCTAGTGTAGTTGTGTTGGGAATAGTGATGATGGGGATAGTGAACGCAGTTGGAGGGAGGGCAAGATGCTCTTCAAACTAGGGGAACGTTTGTTTCTACAGTGAATACGACAAATATATATATTTTAATAATACTATTAACGGCATTAAAATTACTAATATTCTCGTTAATCATTCCAATTACGCTTAAGATACTTGTTTATTTATTTATTTATTTACTAACTCACAATTGTTATTACAGGAGTGGAGCCTAATGCAACAATGTGTTCCTAGTGTAGTTGTGTTGGGAATAGTGATGATGGGGATAGTGAACGCAGTTGGAGGGAGGGCAAGATGCTCTTCAAACTAGGGGAACGTTTGTTTCTACAGTGAATACGACAAATATATATATTTTAATAATACTATTAACGGCATTAAAATTACTAATATTCTCGTTAATCATTCCAATTACGCTTAAGATACTTGTTTATTTATTTATTTATTTATTTACTAACTCACAATTGTTATTACAGGAGTGGAGCCTAATGCAACAATGTGGCCACTAATGTAAAAAAGACAAATAGTTTAATGTCACCCGCTCGAATTCCGCCAATGTACAATTAAATATGTCTGATCGTTGTGCTACGATGTTAAGCATTCTAGCTGCACGAACAACCGGTGCGTACTTTAAGATATTTGTACGAGCAGCTGGTAGGTCCAGCAACCCTCCCCTCAGCCCCCGTCGCAGCCTAGAATTAGCACGAGGAACCGCAGTGATTCCAGAATTTCCGGATTCTTTAATCTACCACGTAATATCAAGTATATGTACTTAAGTAACGCAAAGTTCCGTCTAACCTCCAATGAATGTGTTTCCAATTTTCTGTGAATGCTTAAAATGCTGTAGGAGTGATTCACAACAGTAGTCATGACTTTCTAAGTTTATTGTCCGCACCCTACCATTAGGCTACTGTGGAAGCGCCAATTATAGAGAGATTTAATCCTTTTTCGTTAAAATCGAATTTTGAATTTACGTAACTCGTCACCACTTTTTGGTTTAGCATATTCAATTCACTTTAAGATATATACAGCACCGAGCCATATTCTCTATTGAAATTAGGATGTTTTCAATAGCCTTGTGAATCATACTTGGTAGGAATCGGTGTTCTTTTGCCAGGATTTGTGGTGTATTAAATCTGAGATAATGGTTGGGACGATCCTGAGCGTATTGACACATTGCAGACTTCCCAAATTAAATATAGGAAATCATTATGAAAAGCAAAAGCACTGACCTCAACATAAGCAGGGTAAGCTGGGTCAGTCCAAGCGAGCAGTGTCTCCGATGGCAGAGAGTCTCCGGCAGCAGCATGCGCTATGACCCACACAACGTACTGGCTGTTGGGAGTTAGTTTCTCCAGGGTGTGGCCAGGTACTGTTGTGTTTATCATTGTGACGTTGCCTTGGCCTATTTGGGCCGGAGATTTGTAGAATAACCTGTTAAGTGAACAAAATGTTGAATTGTTTGAGTTTTGATAATTTCTTTTCTTTTTCTTTTTTGTACAAAGCAAGAAATGCATAAAAATATTTTTTTTCTTTCTAAAGAAAATCTATGTACTATAGACATATACATACAGGGTTATTTTGAAATAGCTGGCCAAATTTGAAGAGAAGGTTCAGAATAAGTTATATAGATAGGCAAATGGTGAAGAAAAATTAATTAAAAAAAACTCTCATTCTGTCTTTTTTATCTTTTAAATTCAAAATGCGTGGTAATGTATTTTTTAACTGATTTTACCGCCCAAAATCAGTAGGCACGTTTATGCCTATAATCTATACATCTATACAAATAAATAAAATTGAAGTGTCTGTTTGTAATGTCAAGTAATAGCTTTTTAATAAATGTAAATGAAAATATATACGGTACTTATAACAAAAACACAATTTTGAAAATTTTTGTCTGTCTGTGTGTCTGTTTCGGCTAATCTCCGAAACGACTGCACTGATTTTAACGGGACTTTTACTAGCAGACAGCTGATGTTATAAGGAGTAACTTACGCTACTTTTATTTAAGAAAAAGACATACACACACACACACACACACACACACATACACACACACACACACAAGCACACGCACACGCACGCGCACACGCACACGCAAACGCACATGCACTCGCACACGCACACGCACACGCACACGCACACGCGCACGCGCACGCGCACGCACACGCACACGCACACGCACACGCACACGCACACGCACACGCACACGCACACGCACACGCACACGCACACGCACACGCACACGCACACGCACACGCACACGCACACGCACACGCACACGCACACGCACACGCACACACACACACACACACACACACACACACACACACACACACAAACAAACACACACACACACACACAAACACACACTTATATAATTTCTTACGTGTACGATATCTTCTCGTCTGGAAGTGAGAACTGAGGCGGCTGCCAGGTCAAAGTTAGCCACGTTGCTGAGTGAGATGATACGGACAACGAATGTGGCGGCGATGGAATTCCCGAAACTTCTTTATTGGAGTCTGACATACAAGGAAATGTTAATAGATAAATTACCAGTTTTCATTAAAAAAGAGTTCAATTTATCAATTATACTTTTCATTTGTCAACTTTGATCATATATATCAACTTATGTACAAATCTCATTATAAATATTAGTTCAAATGTATTGTGTTGTATGTATCAGCAAATCTAAAATATATTTTAAAACTAACCAAAATTCAAATGGATCCTGAAGAGAGGATTTCTTACCTTTATCCGTAATATTTAGTAGAAGCATACTGGAAGGTAAGGATGTCCCATGCTCATTGACGGCGACAACGAACACGTGGTAGATGCTGTTGAGTTCAAGGTCAACGATGCGCGCCATCGTGTCTGTTACGTTCAATTTCTGCGATGGAAATAATTATTTAGATCAATTTATTTTTTATGATACATCTATTTTCAATTAGGGCTAATAATTTTCTGGTCACCAGATGTCGCTAGTTGACACTGAGGTAAACTTTTTGTTACGCAATGTAATTTAATTGGGAACTTGTTTTTTAATAAAAGTTTATTAGTTTCTAGAGTATTATATTAATCCACGAAACAATGCGTCAGTGGTTTGCTCTTTAACCTTTTGCACATTGTTAACTTTTTTTTTAAATTTTTCTACTTTTATGTGGTTTGGTGTATTTATTTTAAATGTTATTAATGCAAAATATAATTAATAGTACAAATAAAATATTGGTAAATCCAATTGTGCATACATTAAGCGAATTAAAAAAAGAAAGATAGTTGTTTGGGTGTGAAATTGGGTGACATTAAAGTAAATTGTCTGCTGTATGCTGATGATGCAGTGCTTATTGCACCATCAGAGGCAGAACTGCAGGCATTAGTCACGTGTATGAAAGAGGAATGTGAAATTAAAGGTCTCCGTTTGAACGCAAATAAAACTAAGGTTCTGGTATTTGAAAGGGACGAAGAGAGAACGAAGTGTGAAATATGGGTAAATCAGGAATGTCTAGAACAAGTAAATGAAATTGTATACTTGGGGAGTGCTTTTAGCCGGGATGGAAGATGTGATTTAGATGTGGACAGGCGTGTCGCTGCCGGGAACAAAGTCAATGGTGCCCTGACTGCGTTAGTCAAAAGGCAAGGCGTAGCGAAGAGTGCACGCCTTGCAATACATAACGCAGTGTTGGTACCGACTTTGTTATATGGCAGCGAAACCTGGGTATGCCAGAAGAAGCATAAAAGTAAGTTGAATGCAGTGGAGATGCGATCTCTTCGTAAAATGTGCGGCGTTACCATGGCCGACCGAAAGCGAAACGAAGAGATTCGCAATATGGCAGGTTTGAAAGATGACCTTATATCAAAAATTGATAAGGGCGTACTTCGGTGGTTTGGGCACGTTGAGCGAATGAGTGAAGACCGAATGGTGAAGAAAATATATAGCGCGAAAGTTAATATTAAAAGGTGTCGAGGTAGACCGAGACTAACTTTCGAAGACCATGTGAGCAAATTGCTCGAAGAGGGTAGGGTCAAGAGTACTCGGATACCTAGACGTGCATGCATGAAGAAGATAATGAATCTGAAAGAAGCGAAAGAGGTTTGTAAGGATCGTGACACTTGGCGATCTGTTTTCTCTGGCTACCCCGTCAGGGATTGTGCGTGAAGATAAGTAAGTAAGTATCCTACTTACCTATACTTACCTATTCTTAAATATGTACATCCTACTTACTTTTAGTACGTATTACTATTATTTATTCTGATAAAAATCTTTATTCTAATAAAAATCTCATAAAATATTGAATCCGTCGATTGACCTCTTGGTCGAAGTTAGACTTACCTACTCGGACTATTTGTCCCAGGTAAACATACTCGTCAACAACTTCGAGCTTAGTGTCCCCTACAACTACAGGTATAGGTGTGACATGGACGTTACACATGAATTTTGTTTTGTCCATGTTCATCTTAAGACCTATCCGTTGGAAGACACTATTGAGGTCGTTGAGCATAGTGCATAGGTCCTCCAGCGATTTTGCCATAAGGACTATATCGTTGGCAAATCGAAGGTGAGTGATATACTCGCCATTGACGTTAATACCGTATCCTTTCCAGCTTTCCAGCCCAGTAGCTGGAAAACGTCTTCCAAAATAGTGAAGAGTTTCGGGGCAATAACTCTCTGCAGTTGGATATAATACATAGTATATAGAAAATTTAAAGTTTAATTTTCATACATACATTTTAGCGCGATATTTTGTAAATTTCTATGGCACCAAATTTACATAATATTATGTTTGTGTACTCTGTAGGATAAATTTTATTCACATCTAAATCTTTCGCAACGTCTCTTTCGTACATTCAGCGTACCTCTCGAAATTGATTTCGGTGAATATTTAGGAACGCAGGTAGCGAGCTGTGCAAATATTAAATTTGTATTTCAAAACATCAATAGATAAGAAAACCGCTTGGCTTTGCAGATGGCGTTGCTGTCATATGTCCGAATCCCAGTAAGAGCAGCTAACATTATTTTTGTCTAATTGTATGTCCCTGACGCAGCTTTCAAGCATAACGTTAATATTATTGCATAATGCAAAAGTTATACATATAAGAAGACGTCCATAAAATATTTATGCAAAAATGAGGGAGGATTTACGCGAAGGAAGGGGAAGGAAATCTGACGAGCATGTCCTAACGCAACGCAATAAATGTTAAGAAGGTAGTTGCAGCCAATATACATCTCACTGCTAGGCGCAGGTAGGGTTACCAGATCCCACAATGAGTTCTCCTGGCAATATACCTGACTTTTGAATAAATTTTTTGAAATTGACGCAGAGGCAGCAAATAGTTCGAGAGCTGGTAGACATTTTTGGGTAGGTTTTGACAAGTTTTCAGCACGCCTCAAATACCTACCCAAAAATGTCTTTTTTATATATATCGATGATAGACTGAGGATAGGCTGAGAATATTTAAAATTTTAACAAAATATTTTATTTAAAAATTCCTGACAATTTCAAATTTTTCCTGTTTCCCTCACAGAGAGCTAAAATTCCGGACATGTCAGGAAAATTCCTGTCATCTGGTAACCTTAGGCGCAGGTTTCCAGCAGCGTGGCTGTACCACGTTATTTGAATTTTTAAATTACTTACATTGTCAAGTTGCAGAGTGTTGTAGTAGTAGGGCTGCGAGTTATTGCCAACTAGCTGCCAGTGAACGGTGTACGAGGTGGCGTTAGCACCATCTTGTGGTGGAACCCAGTCTAAGAATAGTTTTCCGTCATTTGAAACCACCGCGTGTAGCTCTCGAGGGGGTCCAGGAAGAATTCCGGTACCTGGGGAGGAAGCACTGTCAGATATTTCCTGTGTAGGGTTGGTTCAGAGATCTACAACATTTTTTTCACCTATCAAAATATGAAGATTTTAAAACTAGGATTTTCTCCTGTATAGTGGAGGCAGTTAACATACATACATTTCACTAGGACAAACATCCAGACCCAGACCAATTATTTGTAGACCATACAAATACGTTTTGTATCTAATTCCTCCAAGTATTTCTTCTTCTCCTATCGATTCTCTCTTAATTTCTCGTTCGAGTGACTGCTACGCTCAGTAGAATTAGTGATTGCATCACATATTACTTAAACAGGTTGGTTATAGAGTGTTAAGGATTTTTGATATTACCGATATATTTTTGATATTACCGACATATTAAAAAGGTTTTCAAAAACTTCAATAGTGTGATTTAGGCTTAGGTGGTTGATTTGTCTGTATGGGTCATCATCATCATCATTATAAACTTTAACACGTCCACTGCTGAATGTAAGCCTCAGCATGTCTCACAAGTTGTCACTCTGTGCGACGCTCTCGTTGCTTCAGAAACATAAACGAACTTACGCCTAAATCAAGCTACCGAAATTTAAAAGCTAGTTTGTATACATAGGACATGCTCTGTATCATAACATCACGTGATAGCTACATGGGTTGAACAACTTGCCCGGCGGGTGCACTCCCGTTTTCTTTTCACGGCCAAAACTTTTATCATCGCCGTTTTCTCCTCGGTTGTTGTTTCCTGAAACTATGTAGCTGGCCTATTGCCAATTAAACATACTGCTAAGTAGTCATTGTGGGGCAATAGCAGCCAAAGATATAACCACTACGTTTTAGTAGCAGCTTTGCCGCAGTGATATTGCTCAGTGACTGTCACTATATTTTTTTCCGTTGGTAATGTACTCGTACGGTTGTACTGTTTCCGGTGTTATTAACTGGTAGTTACGCTTCATACGAATTTATTTAAAAACTTCCTACAATATGTTGATGCATCACATTTCTGAGTTTTACGGAAATTTCGACGAATTCGATTCGATGCACGATGAGCATTCGATGACGACAGTATCTTCACTTGTTAAGGTATTGGATCACATGTTTCATTGTTTCTGATAATGACTCACATGGGCAGACAATTAACACACAAAATCACATCATTTTTACTTATTAAAATCTAATTCAAACAATTATTTAAACGATAAATCAGGAGCAATCCACCGGCAATCAAACGTCAAATAACGATTATAAACGTTTTTTAAGAGTTTTTTGCCGGGAATTTGACCACTGGCTTTAAATAAGTGTTTTAAGTGGGTTTTAATATATAAAAATATTTACAGTATTTTACATTATTTGAAATATTGTAAAAATTTTTGTGAACAAAATACAAAACAGGCTAGGCTGTATGGTATGAGACCTTTGCCTGCTCTAATTGGGGAATCGTAATATTACATTATGACGTTTATTAAAAATAGAACAAAAACATTTCTCGCCAAAACTGTCAATTATATTTACCTTCCTCGAAGCATTGTACGATGTTGCCGATGTAGGGCACGCAGGTGTTGACGCCGCCGGCGTGCGCCGCCGCGCACACGCCGCGGCAAGCCGACGGCACGCCGCGCCGCGCGCAGCACGCCTCGTGGTTGCGCCCTGCCCGACATACACACACCATCCATCCGTCAACCTTGGCCAATTGAATTATGTCCAAAAAAAGTTCAATATATGCTGTAACGGACATAATTCAATTGGTAACTGTACTCTACCGTAAAATAATTCAATTGATACAATATCTCGATAGGAACATAATCGTATATACTAGGTAAGGAAAAGATGTGTCGTGTCCTGTAATATTATTGTAGTCTAATCTCCCGAATGCTGCCCAAAGCACAGAATAAATAATAGTACCCCAAAGGTGGACCCATAGATTAATTATTTTAATATAATTATGTACGTTTAACAGTGGACTTTTACGGGAGGGAAGAATGATATGTTTGCACACATCTTGTGAGTGTCGAGTGCGTGTCAAGTAATTAAGTACAGTTTCGGCGTCACTTGAAAAAACTAACCAGAATAATGCTCCAGAGACAAAGACTTCTATATATACGACTAGACGGATACTACGCTACTAAAACATTGCGCTCTAAGTTACGGTCAATTCTCCGTCCTTTAGACGACTGCGAGCGGCCGAGAAGATTAGTTATTTGTTTTGTGAAACGCGAACGTTGTGTTCTATAACCTAACACTGATTTTCTTTAATGTAACTAAGAAGACGCTATCATTATTTATGTGCGCACTTTGTCAACGTTATTTGAAGTTTATTTCAGATAAGCATCTAGTAGTAACTATTTCGTATTTGTCTATAAATAGTAAATGTCGTAAATGAAAATATTCGTAACAGCTACAGACTATTAAAGTCCACTGTTCAACATAGGCTTCTCTTCTTAGCAAGCGGGTTCGCAACCGCAATTTTTTATTTTTAGACTTATTACGAAGACGCTGCTGTACATATCCTGATTTGTTTCCCTCTGTCGCCTCATACGACACCCACTGGATGATTATGTATGACGACGATGATGTACTAGTGTTATTGACTTTGCCGGCTATTCATACGATATTCGAGAAACTAAGTATAGATTATTCTATACTTTGACGAGGTAGTTTAAATAATATTTCAAAACAAGAATATAGATTTGTATGTTAATGTACGAAATAATAATCTATAGGTATTCTATAGATTTATAATATTATAAAGAACATCGGATTATACGGAATTGAAAAGTAAAACATGGGGCCATGGGTGCTGTAATGTAATTAATAAAACAATAAGGTAGCGGTAGAATCCGAAAAAGTAGTTTTATTCAACTAAAATATATCAATAATGCGTAAAAAGAAGTTGCCCGGTTTACCGCGACGCTTAGCTTTAAGGTTATCACAAAACACACAGATTTATTACATTCACAAAAGAAAAATCCTTACCTCCAGCACCGCAGCGCAACAACTTGTGGAACTCTTGCGCGCACAGCGGTGCCAGAGTCCGCAAGTCGGACATCTTGGCGTCATAAGAACATAACGGCATGCAAACTCCGGCCAATTGCACCCGTTCACAGCAAGCTGTCACGTTGTAAGCATTGGAGTCTATTACTTCATCTTCTATCACCTATATAAATCATAGACAAGACAAATTACGATTAAAAATATGCCCGGGTGTCGTGAAACACTCGGTTGGAACGAAGTTTCTTTCGTAGTATATTATTATTGATAAACGTATTATATTATTGATTTACAAATACAAATAAATGAATTACTAGCGTTTATTAAAATGAAGCGTCATTTAAAATAATATTTCTTTCACGGCAAGATAAGAAAAAGTGCGAGGGAGATGGATATCATTTCATCTCATTTCCTTATAGCCGCCAAGGCCGTCTACACTACGTCAGACGGGGTCGTGACGGAAAAAATCTTACACTTTTACTCGCTTAGCCCCCATGCGTCAAATTCGTACCGATAAGGAACTTCGTTCCAAAAGATCCTCCACTGCAATGATCTAACTAAAATAAGATATTTAATTTACAAATTAAATAGTTAAATTAAAATCATTGGAATCCTTTTAAATAACTATAATTAGAATTATAAATTATAACTAAGAATATACTTATGAGATAAATTAAGTTGGGACTAGAATAACAAATCTAAAGCTTTAATATTGCAAGTATGGAAAACGTTTTTCTTTTTGTTTTGTTTTTTATAAACGTTACATTACGTTAATTTTGGATTTTCTCCTGTATCATAAAAGCAGTTTCATTTCAAGAACAAACATCCAGACCGGGAATAATTATTTGTAGACCATATAAATACTTGTTCTGTGCAGGATTCGAACCCGTGGCCCCAGTGTGGCCGTCACTTAAAAATCATCATTCAATACTATTTCAAGTGCTCACTGGTGCAAATAATCACAAAAAATAATTATAGCAAAAATAAACATTAAAATCCAATAAATTGTGAACATTTACGAGCAATACTCGTCAGAGATCACAACGTCTTGGTACTTGACTTATTTTCTTTATTACTTTGTTTCTTTTTTCTCCGTCGTTAATTAATTTTTATTTATTCATTCCTCTACACGAGTAGAATAATAATTCAATGGATGTCAATTTCATCTTGTATAGGTATATGTCGCAGCCAACTAGCTTAATTAACCTTTCAGTTAAGTTTTTACTATACGGCGCCATCCAACTAGCGGCCTGAATGATATTTAGCCGATGTGTCTACCTCTGATCGAACATTGCAGTAGGTTGAGGTACGGTTGGTGTGGGCCTTGTGTCACCCTAAAACCGTGCACATTTGTGTAATATAGCACTTAGCGCATAATTAGGCACAGACCAGCGACATCACAGGGTTTAGTCACCCTAGTGATTTCATTCGACGAGACGGTCGCTGGTGTTTATGTTAAACGGTGTTTAGTAAAAAAGGCTAGTCTGTTAACTAAAGGTGTCATTAAGCTAGTTGATTGCGAATGCAACCATGAACAATACGTTTATTACTCGTATTATTTTATAGGTTCCAAGTTTTTGATAAGCCTTGTCTTATTTTATAACGAGTGATGACATCATTAAGTGATGACATTTACGACAATTACGCGGGTAATATATACCCGCGTAATTATAAAATTGATCAACTCGTGAAATTATTGAAAATATATTTTGGTAAATATATAATAACCTAATGAATATTTAACTAGGACTTGGAACTTGGCCTAATATAAATAAAAAATATTTACAAACTTTATATTTATATGAAGCAAAGAAACGGTCAAAGCTTGTCATTAATTTTCTATGATCGTCACCTCGTCACCTTAAATACAACCAGCGTAAACTGGTACTCGTTGTGCAATAATAATGGCTAGTCTTAAAACATCCACTGACCTGGCTTTGAGTCCTGAATATGAGTCTTGGCGAGGATTCTCCAACACCGTGTTCATTGGCAGCTTCCACGAAGATTTCATAATCTGTGTTCGACTCCAAATTCTCCAGAATGAATGGTGAGTGTACCTGTGCGAAAAAAAAATGCATCAAACCATATATTTATCGAATACGCTCAGATATTAAGTGATTCTAATAATATTAATGTTCTTATTAATAAATGCAAGTAAATAAATACTGTACTGCATACAGTCTTTCTGGTGGTAAGTGGAAGCCGTGGATAGTAAATATCTACGTCTTGACTCGAATAAAAATGAATCGTGTTAATGAAATGCTCTGTTACTTTAATAAAAGGTGTCCGGTTCTCGACACTCATCATTATGCTGCCATTTCACGATGGCATTCCATGCGAACGTAGTCCTCCAAGCCAACACATTCGTGCTGCAAATATACAGCTGCAACATAGCTTTTTCACGTTGAAAACTTTATCTGTATGTGCATCTGTGAGAGTGTTTCACGTAGATGATTGAAATTTAACATAGTAATAATATAAATTTATTTAAATACAAGCGTAAAATTCATATTAAAAAAAGCCCCGAATTTTAAAAAAGTAAGACGATAATATTTTTAAGATTATTCATCATCAACATCACTACTACGACGACAATATACAGGTTTTTTTTTAAATTTACACTATAGAGAACGCCTATAAGGCCTAAAGGCATTAAGCAGACATACTTTGTATAATTTCTCTAAGGGGAATGCTATAAAGATTTAATTAAAATAAATAACGACCTGATTTCTCTTCTAAAGACACACATGTAAAACAGTTTTCGTACCTTCTTTATGACACTGTAATCATCCTCGACGCTTAGTGCTCTGTAATACAAGTTGTAATACTGGACTGTATCGGCCAGAGTCACTGGTGACGCCCAGTGCACCACAGCAAAGTCCGTGTCGATGTTGGTGAGGTGCAATCTTGAAGGGGGGCCCGGGAGGACGCCGTATCCTTGGAGCAAGCAGTTGGTGTACGATGTCATGTACCGAAGACACCTTAAATATTTCAGAGTTATTAGAATTAACAGACAGTGAACAGACAGTGGAAGGGAAGCCAATGCCCTATTCCGTCTTGATGGTGTCTGTAAGAGACGACTTTTTATCAACCCCCGACGAAAACAGAGGAGTGTTAATATGTTTGTAGTGTGTATCTGTGTATCTGTGTATATGTGTATCTGTGTATATGTGTATCTTTATATCTGTGTATATGTGTATCTGTGTATATGTGTATCTGTGTATATGTTTATATGTGTATCTGTGTATACGTGTATCTGTGTATACGTTTATATGTGTATCTGTATATCTGTGTATATGTGTATCTGTGTATCTGTATATATGTGTATTTGTGTATATGTGTATCTGTGTAAACGTTTATATGTGTATCTGTATATCTGTGTATATGTGTATCTGTGTATCTGTGTAATTGTGTATCTGTATAACTGTGCATATGTGTATCTGTGTAACTGTGGACATGTGTATGTGTGTATATGTTTATATGTGTATCTGTGTATATGTGTATCTGTGTATCTGTGTATTTGTGTATCTGTGTATATGTGTATCTGTATATCTGTTTGTCTGTCTGTGGCATCATAGCTTCTGAACTGATGATCTGATTTTGATTAAGTTTTTCTTGTTTAATAAGTGTCTTAATCGAGAGTATTCTTAAAATTTTTAAGAAAATCTGTTCAGCCGTTTGAAGATCATCAGCTCTTTTTGTTTCGGGGATTTAGAATTTTTTTAATAAGGGTGACAACCGAGCACACAATCTACCCAGTGGCAAGTGGATTACCATGCCCATAGACATAGTTTCCAGTAAAAAGGGTCTCGGGTTCCCTACACTCAGCATACGAAACAGTAAGTACGCTGCTATTTTACATTTTTGTTATGTGAGAGACCTCATCAGTGTCCCTGTGGTAGCAAGCAACGTCCACGAGTTCCAATTTCGTGTAAAAAAAGTGCTGGTCCTTTTTTGACATCACGGTTCTTTGAACGATGTCATCCGAAGAGCTCTTGTCTCTATAAATGGTCCTTCGGGTTTGGAGCCTTGTGGAATATTTAGAGACCATGGCAAGAGACCCGACGGCATGACTTTGGTCCCTCGGGAGAGAGGTAAGTCTTAGTGTGGGATACTACTTGCGTAGACACTTTTGGAACATCTCATGTTAGGGTTACCTCTTTTAGAGCAGGAGCGGCATCAAAGGCAGCTGATCTAAGTATGTGGCGCAAATATAAGTATCTGAGAGATAACTACATATTTTTCTATATCGCTGCTGTTGATAACAGGGCTGGTTGTTTTCTCGCTCAAAGGCTAGACATTAACAGTGTAGTAAGAATATCCATTACTCCAAATCATCCCATTGGTCGACACCGCCTATGAGGCAACAGGGGGGAAGCTGAACCAGGAGATGGCCAGCAGCATCTTAATGATAACGGCTGAATAAAAAAAACCTGTGGTTACCTTTATCGGTTTGTTTAAATATAATTACAAAAAATACTTACTCAGTATTCAAGAGTCAACTTATTGACAATTATTTACTGTCTTATATACTTTTCTATTCCGTTTATTCGTCTCTTTTTAATTTTATTTAAGCATGTAATTGCTACTTTTGTTATATTAATTTATTATAAGTACTTATATATGTCGTAGTGTAATCGTGTATATGGTTTAAATATACTATATATATATATATGCATATTGATTTAAAATTGTAAAATAATGAATATTGTTATGTTTTGTTTTGTTAAATTTTATTGGCACCCACGGAAGATCATTGTCGAAGTACTTTGTTAGTACCAAGACTATCCTGAGTTAGGTAGGTACCTTTTTAGTAACCATTTACCATATTTACTTATTTTTTTATAGGATATGGTGACAAACGAGCACACCTGATGGTAAGTGGTTGCTGTGGCCCATAGACATCTACATTTATCCTTGTTTGCGAATCAAAATGCAGATGCGTTGTCACCCGTGAGGACTAAGATGGAATGCCTCTTTTCCAGTAAAATGGGTCTCCGGTTCTCTACACTCACCATACGAAACACAGCAGTGTTAAGCTGCTATTTTACGCTGGTATTCTGTTGCCAACCCATTCGTGCTACAACTATACTACTAATATAGCTGCAGCATGGCTCTACTACGTATCATATGTTATTATTGTAAGCAAACTGCTAAAATTTGTTACTAAATAAACTTATTTTCTTTCTTTATTTCTTTCAACAGTAACTATGGTATATATACCCGTATCTATATGTACAAGGGAGTTACGACAGGCTGTAATGATGATGATGATGAAGGGCCAATAGCAGTTTTTAATTTTTATTCAGCCGAGCGGGATTATATTTATATAGCCGTTTGCTGAGCGTAGCAAATGTGGCAAATACCCCCATGAGGCAATCTGTGGGGGAGTACTATGCTCAGCAGTGAACTTTTGATGGGCTGTAATAGTGTTGAAGATATATATCACTAGGTCACTTCCGAGGCGTGCAAAGGATTATGAACATTAGCGATGTTGTAACTAAGTTTAAACTCGCAATTTTGCTATCAGAGAATGAACCGTCTCTTCTTTTAACTATTATTTATTCTGTAGATATATGAAGAGTGTGCGCAGGAATTGCATAATTAATTCCTTCTGCTCCCTTCCACCATCACACAACCAGATTCGGTCGGTCTCCACCCCTTCGCTGTTGACTTACCACGCATTCGAACCAAATAATTCGCTACATCGTTCATCATGCGTACAGCAAAGGATTGGAATAAGTTGCCGGCATCTGTGTTTTCATCCGAGTATAGGGGAGACCGGGGATGGTTGACTATAGGGGCAGGTTGACTTGCTCTCAAAAACTCGACCTACTCAAAAGTGTTGCCTTATCCAAGTAGGCGCGAAAAACCGTTTTCTAACCCCGTTAAGGTACCGGAAGAGCGGCATCGTCTACGCACGTCGTTTGGGAGAAGGAGTTTAATATCCAAAAACAAACAATGTATGTAATTGTTTACCTTCTAATATATTTTGTAGTAACGCCTACATACTCGTTGTTATTTACTTTCAAGTAATTTAAACTAAAAGTTGGATTGATAATCTTTTTATTACGTATCATTATTTTTTATTTCGCCACAGTTTTGAGGCTACACCATGTGGTTAAAAATTAAAAAGCGATCCGGGGCTGGTAGACTAATTTATTTTGGGGCTGGTTGTCAAGGCAAGAGTGAATAGGCTTTTGTTATGTCAGTGCGCTACACCATCTTATGATACATCACCACTTACCATCAGGTGGCATTGCAGTTAAGCGCTGGCTTAGAATAATTTAAAAAAAGTTACGCTAAGTTCTAATAACTTGGCATAAGGACCGGAAGAAAGAAAGAACTATTTATTTTTAATACATACATTTAAAATAGTATACAAAAGCAATGTGTAAAAATATGCAGGCACCAGTCTAAGATTGCTTACACATTAACAGTTAAGAAACAGTATATGCACAACATTAATCTTTACAAATAAATAAAATTGAAGAGTCTGTTTGTAATGTCAAAATAACAGCATTTTACTAATTGCATATGAAAGTATATACGGTACTTATAACATTAACACAATTTTTAACATTTTTGTCTCTCTGTCTGTTTGTTCCGGCTAATCTCCACAACGGCTGGGCCGATTTTTGACGGGACTTTACTGGTAGATAGTTCATGTTATAATAAGTGACTTAGGCTACTTAAATTTTAGAAAAAATATTAGGTTAAACAAAATTAAAACCCTAAATGACACGCGAATAAATGACACGCGGGTGAAGTCGCGGGGAACAGCTAGTTAATAATAAAAAAGGAAGAATAATAGAAGAGGACGTACTTGAAGTGGTTGAAGTCGAGGAAGGTGATGTTCCCGCTGCAGAGCGGCAGGCAGGGCTCGGGCAGGCCGCGCGCGCGGCAGCACGGCGAGTGGTCCAGCCCGTTGGCGAGGCAGCCGAACGTCACGCCGGCCCACGGCGCGCACACCATCAGGTCTACCACCTGCAACTGACCGATGAGACGGGCCCGCTCTGGATGATAGTGCGTTAGTGACGGATGGCGGTGGGGTGAGAGTGGTGTGCCGACATGAATTGTTAAGTGTTATCTATACTTATAAATTAAAGTGTCTGGATATTAAAATGACTGTCTAATATTAACCTCAGAGTTATATTTATGTGCTATTTATGATGAAACTTTTACGAACAGATAGAGAGGAGTGCCAAGAGGGATCTAGACTATATTTTATCCGAAATACTTAGAAATTAAAAAAAAAGTTACTAATAAATCTAAAAAAGTACTGCACTAAGAAATTGTATTGTTGAAATAACTGGCATCTATTTAAATTTTTTTATAGGAATATGGTGACAACGAGCATACAGTCCATCTGATGGTAAGTGGTTGCTGTAGCCCATAGATATCTACATCGCAGATGCGTCGTCACCCGTGAGGACTAAGATGGAATGCCTCGGTTCTAGTAAAAAGGGTATCCGGTTCTCTACACAGCAGCGTTAAGCTGCTGTTTTACGCTGGTATTCTGTGAGAGCGTGGCTCTACCATGTCTTGAAAAACTCGGGGGATTATTCGCATATTATTAAGACGTAAATAATCATTTTTCAAATTTTTTACTTTCTGTCTGTCTGCATATTCAGGCTAATCTTTGGGATGGCTTAACCGGTTATGATGAAACTTTACGAATGGAGCAGTGCCAGTAGGGATATAAGCTATATTTTATCGGAAAATCTACATTAAAAAAAAAACCGAAAATTGATAAAATAAATGACAATTAATTATCTTATAGGTCCCATCAGGGAGAAGTTGGGGCGACCGCAAGTAAAAAATACGCGAGAAGAACCGACAACTGATGGAGAAGAAAAGTTCTAAAATGGCAGACTCGTAATGGTAATTGCGGTGTAGGCTACCCTCACTAGAGCAGCTAGGCTCAGGGCAGTTTTATTTTACTATTCTCCGCCTATTGAAATCATAACGTAGAGCATTTGTAAATACATTTTATACGTGGTAGAGCTGCACCTATACCATGCTGCAGCTATATTAATAGTATAGTTGTAGCACGAATGGGTCGGCTCGACCGGGAAAGGACCACGCTCTCACAGAATACCAGCGTAAAATAGCAGCTTAATGCTGCTGTGTTTCGTATGGTGAAAGTAGAGAACCGGAGACCTTTTTTACTGGAAAGGCATTCTATCTTAGTCCTCACGGCCGACAACGCATCTGCATTTTAATTCGCAAATGAAGATAGATGTAGATGTCTATGGGCCACAGCAACCATTTACCATCAGGTGGACTGTGTGCTCGTTTGTCGCCCTTATTCTATATAAAAAAAAAACACATAAACCTTTGTTCTTTTTTAAGTTAAAGGTAACAAACGAGCACATAGGCCAGTAGTGGCAAGTGAGATTTTGTAGTCCAAAGACATTTTCATATCAAGTGTACTTTTTTAAATCACCATATTTGTTACTGTTGGACATACCGTTGCACGGTAGTTTCTATAACATAGATTGTACCGTAATGTAACATTTCGTTAATAAATGAATGTATGGAATTAAAAAAATATACATGAAACTGTACCAAATGGTCCATGAACACACACCGTTACCAGTTCCCGAAACTTACATTGATTTCAAATATATTGGTCGGATCGCACAGATTGTCCACGCAGCTGTAGTGCTTGACACCGCCTGATAAGCAGCATTGCCTTACATCTGGCAGCTTGGGAGCGGGCGCTACTTGCGTGGTCTTCATTTTACCAGGAGTCAGGGTTAACGACCTATTAGGTGAAAGAAACAAGGAATATAATAAAATGTCTTATAATTACGATGTGTAGTGACGGTGTAATAGAATCAACTATCCCCAAAACAGACATTGTGGCTGCCAACCTTCCTGCTAGACGTGGCACTTATTCTATAGAAATATAAACTTTTTTTTATTAAATATAGATTATAAATAATACATAATTATTGAAAGTCGCTCTCTTAATTAATTTACCACAGATTCGGAAAATAGCTTTGCTTTAAGAAAAACCAGCAAGAAAACCAGCTGAATTTCTTTTAATTTTTTTTAACAGTTTACAACCAATTAGTCATACAATTTATATACTTTATATTATAAATAGCTAGCCAGGCAGACGTTGTTCTGCCCTTTCCGACGACCCTTCCTATGAAAAAATCCTTAAATTCGCAATAAAAAAATATTGAAGGTCACTTATCGGGATAAAATGTATCCTATCTCTCAAGTTGGACCAAACTGCACACAGTGTGCAAACTTTCAATGAAATCAGTTCAACAGTTTAGGAGTTCATCGTTGACAAATAATGTGACACGTAATGTTTATATATAAATATATGCAGACCTTTATATATATATAAATATGCAGATCTTTTCTATCAAAAGGTTTAAATTATTTATTAAGCAAAAATTGTCTAGTAAGTGTTATTATACTACTAAAGAGTAGATGATTGATAATAACCCCTGGGAATGAGGTGATCGCTACCATGCTGTTTCTAAATGTTTCCATAATAATTGTACAAAATATTATATTGTAAATTGTCCCGCTGGGTTTCTTGCTGGTTCTTCCCAGGACAGAGGTTTTTTATGCGAACCAGTGGTAAAAGTAAAATATGTCTTTCAATAAGTAATACAGAAATCTATATTGAATAAAAATGATTCTATTCTATATATTAATATTATAGTTATACAGTAAGGAAGCGATCACTTTATTCCCAGGGGCTATTGTCATCCATAAATTCGTTAATATTATAATAACCCTTTTTATACAATCTTTGTTTAATAAAGTTTTTGAACTTGACGGTGGACACCAGTTGGAGTGCCGACCTGGTAAGAGCAGAATGAGCAGATGCAGGAAGTCGATGGATGCAGATGGCTTGTGCTATGTGGCATTCCTTGGGAAAGGGCTATGATTAGCAGAGGACTTATGAGGGGCTGTTATGATGATGCCGATGATAATGGTGATGATGAACCGACTACAATATAAATAAAATGAGAATAGCATCAATGTAGTCGAAGTCATTAAATAGGTATGTATTATTAAGGATAACTCAAAAACTACAGTCAGATCTTGAGCAAATTTATATGGTACTACATGGGAAGCACCAGCATTCAAATAAAGAAAGAATCATCACAATGGGTTCACCTAGAAAATAGTGCTGAGGTAACACACATAAAAAATACAGTTGAATTGAGAACCTACTCCGTTTTTTGTAGTCGGTTGAAAAGATCACCCATGCCGAAACACTAAAATCATACCTCGAAATATATTCATGCGCACTTGAAAGATAAACGCCTCGTTTAAATTCTATTGAAACTTACCTGACAATGTAAATCGGAAGACTCGATCCATGAATATTGTACGAAGTTACTGTAATCTCATACATAGTGAATGGGAGCAAATCGTTGAGTATCAGGAACGTTTTGTTCGCTTGCACTTTGTGAGTCACCGATTGAGTCATTTTAGTTTCGTTGTTCTTGATCGAACTCTCAGAGGGGTCGATGAGGTGGGCATCAAATGACCTGAGTGTGGTCACGTTCACCACGTACTCTGTGACCGTCTCCGCGTTTTCGACAGGCGGACTCCACGACACGTTCAACTGTTTCTCATTAAGTGGTTCCACTTCAACGTCTTCTGGTGGACTTGGGAGAAGTTCTGTAAAGGAAATTGTAGTTATATTCGATGTTCACATTCACGCTTTTAAATGATGAAGTGTTTAGATACTAGGGAGAAATTAACACTGTGCATTAGTAATATAATCGACTACCAACAGCAATTTTTTTTGACATAGGGATCTTCAACCAAACAGCCTACTCTTTTTTAAAGTGCCAGTAACGCATCTGCAATTCCCTTGGTGTTGCAGTTGTTCATGAGCGGCGGTAATCACTTACCATCAGTGAGCCGTATGCACGTTTGCCCCCTCTCATAAATAATAATAACCGCCAGACCGAAATTCGGTCACGGCGGCCAGTCTCAACGGAGACTAGCCATCGGCGCAGGACAGGATTATAGTGCCCAAGTGTATGTGCAAGCACAGGTGCACTCTCCATTCCTTCACTCTCATTGTCCGATGGGACGGTAAACCGACACGACCGGAGAGAGATCAGGCGCAAATATAAAGTAATAATTATATGTTATTTCCTTTTTTTTTGGGAATGCTTGTAGATGCTATTATTCTTAAAAAATCATTGATACCATTACCTTTACCTAATTGTTGAATGGTGGATTAGGTACTGTTTAGTTTCGCAACCGGACTCAACAATATATATATATATATATATATATATATATATATATATATATATATATATATATATATATGTGGCGGCGCTGTCATCGCGTCACAAGCGAAACACATCGAAGCCTAAATCGCGGTAACAAAGTTCCGAAGTTAAAGCAGTATATATATAATAGTTAGGCTCGCTTTCGTTCATACCTTATATTTAATCATTAAATTGGAATTGCATATAATTATATTATATTATAAGTATATTCTAGTCCTGGAGATAATATTATATGAATTGCAAGAAATTTTCTAAGATTAAACAACTTAAATCGTAATGTGTATGGTTGTACACAACATATTCAGCGATGAGGTTTTGAGGCAAAGATTAGTAGAGTTTTTCAAAACAGAAAGACAGTTAAATAGAAAAGTATAAACATTACAATACAAATTATAGCTTACCTATACCTTCGACGATACACGCAAGTGTTTTTTCCATGTAAGTGGCACAGGAGTAATGTGTCTTAATATTGTCGGTGACCGGGGTGAACTCTCCCCGGCAGACATCTTGACAAATGTCCGGTACGTGCTCTTGAACACAACAAGGCACGTGGTTGCGCCCGTCGGCCATACATCTGTCAACATGGAATCATATTGTTTTTTCCCCTTTAGATAATGGAGTCATGTAACTAAAATCCAAAATCTAACTTTTAGGTTTAGAGTAGATACCAACCATATATATATATATATATATATATATATATATATATATATATATATATATATATATATATATATATATATATATATATATATTTATATATATATGTGTCAAATATCCCCACTATGAGGCAATCTATGGGGGCGGCCTACATTCAGCAGTGGACTTTAATAGGCTGTAACGGTTAAAGGTCAGGTATCGACATCTTTGCCTGTTTCTGCCGCCAAATAGCCAGTGTGAAGAGTTATTAAGCTCAAATGGGTCGGTCCGAGAAGACCACGCATTGACAGAATAGCAGCGTACTGCAGTTGTTTAGTATTTTTTATTAAACTGAAATGATAAATGAACTATCGGTCTACCTGATGGTAGGTGGATACGGCATTCCATGGACATCTGCAACTAATATTAAAAAAGGATGCAGTTGTGTTGCCACATTGACTCTCTATATCCTTCAGAATATCAGTGCAGGCAATGTTATTTGGGGCAAAAAATAGTTAAGAAATAATAATAAAAAAAGTGTGTGTAACAATACAAAAAAACTTGAGAGACAATTACCCACTGAAGTTGTCGCTTTTAAGTGTCAGTGTGCGTGCACATACTAACAACTTCATGGTGTCGTTTTCAGGTGTCGGTGTGCGTGCGCATCGTAAAAATTCACTCTCATCATTTCTTTTTAACGCCCCAAAAGCCGTGAGATTTCTTAGTCCACAGAGGTGTCAACTAACCTATAGCCTTATTTATTTGAAATTGGTTCCAGGTGGATATGTGCCACATATCATCAGTTGGACTGGAAGTTCGTTTGTCACTTAAATTTTATAAACAAAAATATTTTTTTTTATTTATTTATTATTACCCACTGAAGTTGTGGCATTCTTTGGGGGAGGCCTATGTTCAGCAGTGGACTTGTGAAGGGCTGTAATGATGACTGAAGTTGTCGCTTTAGGTGACAGTGTGCGCGCGCATCGTAACTACTTCATGGTGTCGTTTTTAGACGTCGGAGTGCGCGCTCAGCGTAAAAAATTCACTCTCATCATTATTCCCAAACGCCCCAAAAGAAGTATAACTTCAAAAAAACCATTATAATATGAAGTTCTAAATATAAGTGTTTTCCGTAGTGTTGAATATTACGATTACAAACAATAGACTAAAATGAACCTATTTCAAAAGGAAGGCCGGGTACTTAAAATTCCGACAAATTAAGCATCGATTACCCTCATGCTTGTGCAATTTGTGTAAGTTCCAAGATATAAAATGTTTAACATAACATTATTTACTATTTGCTCGAAATACGAACTATGACGACATATTATATAAAATGCCAAATGCAAATGCCATAAACTGATATTGGGAAACAACGTCAACGCTTCATTACCCTTACAGCGGTTGTGGTGCTTGTCAAACTGGTGATAGTGAGTAGCGAAAACAAAAGTTTAAAAACCAATATCAACAGGTGGACTGTATGCTCGTTTGTCAATCTTATTCTATATAAAAGACACAACATTTGCATATTTAAAATCAAGATGTAGATGTCTATCTGACATAGTATCTACTTTATACGAGGTAAACTATTAAATCTTTCAAAAATTATAAAAAATATATGGGACTATCACATAAAAGCCTTACTTTACTATAGCGGGAAAATCAGGCTGACATATTTCCGGATCCTGTCCCGTTCCTTCTAGGATTGTTTGTATGCTGCAAAACCCTAAGCAGGCAGAGCTCACATTGGCGTTCAAGCAGCAGTCGGTGTAGTTGTGAGCCAGTGCCAGCGGTGACAGTGTTGGCACGTTCGCCGAGTAAGCATCTGTTGAGTTCTGGCTCTCAGGCGGCGTGAGACCACGGGAAATTACTGCAAATAATTTCGTAGTCAACATTACGTTTTATATATTTTTTTAACGGAACTAATTCAGAATTTTAGCCTGAAGTTAATAGAGGCAACAAGAAAGGACTCGTCAGACCAAGGATACCGCAACATACTCGAATTTACATAAATATTCGGGATTATGTAAATAACGAAATGCGAAAAAACCAAATAAAAAAAGAATTCATTCATTAATTCAACATGTATGTTTTTGTAGTAGCTATAAATTGGTTTAGTTTTTAAAATATACGGATTATAATATTTTAGTCCTTCAAGCTGGAATCCTTCCCAACGATATCATAAATTTTATTAGGTTAAGATTTAATGACGAACTGATGACAATTAGTGACCTAAAAAACATTAGTGACTTAACACTTTAGGGAGGATTCTAGCTTGAATTCAATTCAGCTAGCAGCCACTCCTCGAAAACACTATTTTAGTCTGCGTCTGCGATGATATTACTGCCTTATGTACCGAGATTGAAACATATTGCTCCAACGGAACCGGAGATATTCATATGTCTTAAGCAGGATTCTTGCTTGAAGATGTGTGTTTACGTGTCTTTCGCTGTAAAATTGTGTCTCTTAGATTCAAATTAAAACATTCACAATTTAGTAAAAACCTTATTGAAAGTGCATTTACATGTCAATATCGGAACACTCATGCACACATTGTACAAATCTTTTGTTTTCAATTTATAAACTTTAAAAAGTATAACACATCTGTTTTCGTGGTTTTATTTTCCATTTGTAATTTTATAGAACTGCCACCACAAACAAAGTAAAGTAAATGTGAAAATAAACAAACTCCATTAAAGACATTTCCAATTGATTTTGTATATGGTATATATGTAATATAACATATAATATCAAGTGACATAAAACTTACCAGTAAGACGATGAAAACTCCTCACGGGAGGCTCGGTGTTCAGTTCACACATGTAAAGGCCAGCGTCAGATGGTTTCACCGACCGTATCACCAGGGCCCACACGTCACCACCATTCCGTATCCCGGGAGCTGTGGGCGGCTCATCGGCTGTGTTAAAAAGGAGATACATTTGCTTGTGTTCAATATGTAATTTTTGTGCTTATTTTTGTTAAATCAGAATGATGATGTTGGTGCTAACCGTGTAGTAGCGGTGTAAGTATATCCAATACGCCATATTTTCCCATAGATGTCGTGAGAGGCGAAAGAGGGAAACTAAATCAGGAGATGGGCAGCATCATCTACCTTTTTTATAGGATAGGGGTGACAAGCGAGCACACAGTACACCTGATGGTAAGTGGTTGCTGTGGCCCATAGACGTCTAAATCTATCCTCGTTTGTGAATCAAATTGCAGATGCGTTGTCAGCCGCGAGGACTAAGATGAAATGCATCTTTTCCAGTACAAAGGGTCTCCGTTTCTCTACACTCACCATACGAAACACAGCAGTGTTAAGCTGCCATTTTACGCTGGTATTCTGGGAGAGCGTGGTCCTTCCCTGGTAGAGCCGACCCATTCGTGCTACAACTATACTACTAATATAGCTGCAGCATGGCTATACTAGATCGACTCTTCTGAACTCTAAGAACAAAAAAGCAGGAGAAATGCTTGAAAATTAATGGAGACACACAAGATGTTTAAACCCTAACAACTTTCTTTAAAAAGGTCCTTTCTAAAAATGCAGGCTTATTTTAAAATAAATTGCGACCAAAGTAAAAGAAATGCCGGCCATAATTTAAGCAAGAAGAAACATCTCTTTGTTACAGTATTTGGAATACAGATAAAATAAGCATTAAAACGCCGCCTATCACAATCTAGTTGTAATCACACAGATTGAGCGATCAAAGGAAAACGTCACGTCTGCTGAATGTAATAAAAACCGATTTCGCTTGCAAAGGGCAAATCTGACTAGACTCTACAGTTTATAGCCGAAGCCGCACTTATTACTGAAAATGCGTGATAAAATTCTGAGAACGTACCACTAACAGTAAACGTGCGCAGAAACTGAAAGCAAATAGTTTAGAGGTACTCGTAATATTCTACTGATGTTGATGAAATAATCTATACAAATAAATAAAATTGAAGTGTCTGTTTGTAATGTCAAAATATCAGAAACTAAATGCATATGAAAGTATATACGGTACTTACCACAAAAATACAATTTTTAAAAATCTTGTCTGTCTATGTGTTTGTTACGGCTAATCTCCGAAACGAGTGGACTTTCACTTTCATTTCGATGGGACTTTCACTGGCAGATAGCTGATGTTATAAGGAGTAACTTAGGCTACTTATATTTTAGAAAAAGCATTAGAGTTCCGCGAAACATAATTAAAGCCCTAAATTACACGCAGGCGATGTCGCGTGTAATTTAGGGCTTTTTAAAATATAGTTTAAAATATAAATTGATAATAAAAATTTTAAGCATCTTTACATCTAATGAATTGTTACGTTTACGCAAACCCTTCTTTATCAATTTATTCAATGTTGCTACACCTTGATTTTTTTTATATAATAATTATGACAAATAAAAACACAGTCCACCTGACGATGGAGGTAGAAGATCTCCCGTTCTCTACACTTAACATACAACACACCAGCATTATGCTGAAAAATTCACGTCAGTTTTCTGTGAGAGCATAGTCCTTCCCCGGTCGAATCGAAACATTCACGCTATTATTATAATATAATTTAATAATATACCTGCAGCATGGTTCAACTTCTTAAAAACTAATTATTTTATTCTACGATTTTGCGGACCAAAAATACATAATTAAAAGCTAGCATGACGTTAACATCATAATAACTCGTGACAATGGATGCTGAAAATCGCTGAAAAGTCGGAAATTAAAAAAGTTAAAATTAAACGCGATAAGATACGTTACCTTTCTCTCTTTAGTCTTTAGATGTGTAACAGTAGCTTAAAGCTTTAGGTAAAAACCTATAAACTAATAATAACAATAAATTTGATATATCACAATGAAAGTTAATAAAATACTTGTATATTTTAAAAAACGAACTTCGATATTTAATTTTTTTTTATAGAAAAAGAGTGGCAAACATTAAGCTGCTATTTTACGCTGGGATTCTGTGTGAGTGTGAAATGTCAAGTCTTCCCTGCAACGGGAATTTGTCCATTAGTGGACTTTGCGTATTCATTATAAAGAAGAAGATTTTATCACACAGAAAATATACGTATATCATAGTCCTCAAATCAACTTAGAATTTCCTTTTATGGTTAGCATTGAATAAGGACTATGCACGACTTTTTCTGCCATCAGGGCGGCACTACTAGAAAGTGAGGTATAATATTTGGCAGATTTCATAGCGGGGAAATTAATTTGTTCGGAAAATATAAAAGTTATTGTTTCTTTCTGTACTATTAGCTATATTTTATATTAATAACATTAAAAATAAATAAAACAAACCACAGATATTCATAAAAGTAGAAAAATTAAAAAAAAAAGGTAAAAATGTGCAAAAAATTAAAGAGCAAACCACTGACGCAATGTTTTGTGTATTAATATAATACTCTAGAAAGTGATAAACTTTTATTAAATAACAACTTCTCAATTGAATTACATTGTGTAACGAAATACCTTACCTCAGACTGAGGTCCTCAGTGTCAACTAGCGAGATCTGGTGAGCAGAAAATTATTAGCCCTCACTCCACAGGTATGGGTCATTACTAGCATTTCTAAATCTTTATATTAATATGTAAAGGAAAAACTTTATACCCCTTTCTAAGCATATCGCACACACGGAGAAGTGTGACATTTATTATAGTTAACTTTTATATTGAGAAGAAGTACAGAAACCTAACATTTATGACTAACTAGCTGTTCCCCGCAACTTCGCCCGCGTGGAGTTATTTTGCGCGGAACCCTAAACTAAAAGCAGCCCAAGTTACTCCTTATAACATAAGCTATCTGCCAGTGTGTATAAATATTGACAAATATAAACATTAATATTTATACGATACTAACGTCACTGAAATGTTTTGCCTTCCCGGAACCCCTAAACCCCGGAACACTTAAACTTTATGTTATGGTACCTATTAAAGTTCAAATTGACTTTTAAGTATTATTACGAATCTTTTGTATGGGAATATAGAAAAGTGTTGTTTTTAGACTTTTTCAGGCAATTTTTTAAATTTTTCTCTCCGTAGGAACCATCTTCGTACTTCAAGGAATATTATAAAAAAAGAATTAGCGAAATCGGTTCAGCTGCTCTCGAGATTTGCGCTTAGCAACACATTCAGCGATTCATTTTTATATTATAGATATGTATTAAATATACATTGAATTAATTTACATAAAACATAATTTTTTTTCCTAGTTTGGTAACTAAGAAAAAAAACATACATTATTTACAGTATGAACGTAAACATATATCGTGTACGTTCATACTGTCAATGTCAAACACATAATTGTCGCTTGGACAAATTACACCTATGTCTTTTGTCGACGTTCATACCGTCCATGTCTAAGATAAATTATAAGCATAATATGTATTGTTTTACTCTAAATTTCAAACACTTAATAGTTGGTAGTCAAACAGTCACACAGAGTAGAAATAATCGCTAAAAAATTTGTCAAAATGTTCGCCAATAACTGTGAATTTTGTACGATTTCAAATGATCCTTTTCAAGTGTGTGGAGTGTATGTCAAGGCAAAAAAATTATACTTTTGTATATACCTGTGTTTTATAATATATTGTGTGAAGTTGAAAATGAAAAAAAAACTTGCTTAATATTTCGACCAATAGACGACTAATAGTAGTTATAATTACACAAGAAAGTTGTTATTGAAAATACTATATGGCGTGTTACTGAGCGATGTATTTAGATTAAGGTTAACCAAAGGCGCGACAGCTTCAATTAACGCTGTTACGTTGATCGAAGTGCAACACTAATGTATTTTTTACACGATTTAAAAAAAAGTAAACACGCAATGAACCGTTTTATTCGCTTGACCGACCACCCAGTTCGTACTATTGACCCAAAATAATTGGCCGATATTGTATGCCAATGTTTTATTCATCACGCTCTACTACTGCGTGGGTATTATATTACATTTTATAACATTATTTTTGTGTAATGATTTCTTACATTTACGTGGACATTACACATTTATATAAAACTAGTTTTTATGGATTCTATAGCCTATATTAACTTATTTTGTATTCTCAACGTTCAGAGCACTTTACAGAACACACAGCTGATGTGAAGAATCGACGCTCCGGGAAGTCTGCAGTCTGTGAACACGTACAGGATCGCCCCCGTCACTAGATCAGATTTGATAGACCACAAATCCTCGCTAAAGAACATCGATTCCTTCAAGGATGATTCGCAAGGCTATTGAAATAAAAAAAATATAATTTCAAAGGAGAACATTGCTGGGTGATACCATATCTGCTTGAGGTTCTACTTTGGATTAACTTGCGTAATAGTTTAAGATACTATAAGCTCATATTACGTAGATGAGAACAAAATTAAAAATATAATCTGGAGGTAGCCGTGGTTAACCATGACATTGGGGCGTCGAACACCTCATTCCCTAACGTGACCAAGGGTGCTGTAAAGTGATTGAAACGTCGGAAATATAAAATTAGTTAATATACGCAATAGAATACGTAAAAACTAATTTTATTTAAATTGTTTTTGTAATGAATAAACCTAATATTACAGATTTTATTGCGTTTAATACTACTTATTTTTAATTACCGACATTTCTTTTAATATTTATCTGATAGGTGTCATTCTAAATTAATTATATAGCTGTTGATGGCAGTTTTAAAAAAATTGTAGAAATAAAATTTAAGTATCTCCAAAATTTGCATCGTGGCAAATTAATAGCTTCAAAAAATTTACTGGTATAAATATGTCTAATGGACCTCTCGGTCGAAGTTGGACTTACCTAGTTCAAGTAGTTGGACTATTTGTCGAAGGTAAACACATTCGTCGACAACTTCGAGTTTACTGCTTGCAACAACTACCGACATTGGTGTGACATGGACGTTAAACATGACCTTTGTTTTGTCCGTCCTAAGATCGACCTATCTGTTACCGCAGACCAGACCGTAGACACAGTAGAACCAGAGTAATGCTGAAGTAATGAGCCGGTAAATATAGCTCGCGGAACTGACATGCGATGGGGAAGAAAGGTTCTCGAGTGGCAACCTTGTAGCGGTAACCTTGAAGTGTAGGGCGCTCCCCTCCCCCCCACTAGATGGAGTGACGATCTGGTAAGATATGCAGGGAAGTCGATAGATGTAGTTGCCCCAAGATCAGTCTTTGTGGCATTCCTTGGGCCTATCTTCAGCAGTGGACTTGTAATGATGTTGATGATGTTGATGACTGCTATAAAAATGTAGATTAGGAAAGGCTGATAATAGTTAAAGTATAAAATTATTATACTTACAATCATCATGTAACACCTGCACTCTCTCGTCTCTTGTCACCCTCACTCCACCAGCTGTCAACACCTTGCGGTCTCTGGCTCTCTTCCACAGCACCGGTTTCCCCCTCGCCCCCAACACGACGCATGTTAAAATTGCATCTTCTCCACTCCTCACGGCAATTCCTCCTGCTGGCGCTCGCATCCATGTTTCCTTAGGTTCCTCATCTTCTTGTGAACTGGCCGAGACGCTTGCGCTTTCTACTGATTCTCCTTTTGACTCTGCATAAAAGAAATGGTGGGATTAGCAATATGATTCATCTTCTTCATCATCAGGCCGTCTAAGTCCTGTATTAGTTTACGTGGTACAGACATGCTACAGATATATTGTGGTTGTAGCATGAATGGTTCGGTTCGACCGAGGAAGGACCACGCTCTCACAGAATACCAACGAAAATTAGTAGCTAAATGCTGCAGTGTTTCATATGGTGAGTGTAGAGAACCGGAGACTCCTTTTTACTGGAAACGAGGTATTCCATCTTAGTCCTCAGGGGTGACAACGCATCTGCATTTTGATTCTCAACCGAGGATAGACGTAGATGTCTATGGGCCACATTATACAGTTACCATCAGGTGGGCTGTGTTCGTTTGTAACAATTATCCTATAAAAAGTCCAGTACTGAACTTGGGCCTCCCCTCTTGTAAAAACAATTTACCTTAATCATCGCGTTTGGCAAGCGTAAGACATGATTTTTCTGGCATATAAAATAATTATATACATTCCGTCGTTTCATATGAATTATATTTTATACGATCTTATGTACAAATTTACTTTGGAAACAAACTTCAATGTTAAACAACAAATTTTATATAAAATAACTTCTACGCATTAGGATTGTAAAGTAAAAGCTTTGGAACTTTTGACGAAATGGAAGTCATTAATATTTTGATGGATGGTTGAAGAGTTTTAATTTTAGAATTTATACGTATCACCAGGTACACAAGTAATAATTAATTTTACGAAGTTGTCTAGAAGTTATACAGAGGCTTAATTTTAGACACACGCAAAAGTATTTATAGTCTTTGAGTGCTATCATACATATAAAACGCTATTAGTTGCGGTAATTACTCTGTGATTTTATTTTTTTGCGATGTTCTTGTGTTGATGTTTTAGTCTTTTTTTTTGTTTTAGTAATTTTATTCAAGGATTTCTAGTGGGAACTTGATCGGAGACGGATTGTTGATTAGAATAGAATATAATAGAATAGAATGATTTTTATTCAATACGGATTATTACATAATACTTATTGAAAGTCATTATTTTATTTACCACTGGTTCAGAACATACCTCTGTTCTGGGAAGAACCAGCAAGAAACCGTGCGGGACTTTTTTTTAAACATAATTTCACTTAACAATAATTTTGTTTATACAATTTTAAAGAATTTTCATAGAACCAGCATGGTGGCGATCACCTTATTCCCAGGGGTTATTTTCATTCATGTATTCCTTGATATTATAATAACCCTTTTTGTACAGTTTTTCTTTAATAAAACTTTTAAACTTGTTTATTGACAAACTTTGAACATGTTCTGGAACTTTGTTGTAAAAGCGTATACATTGCCCCATAAATGAATTACTAATTCTGTGGAGTCTAGTAACTGGCATTACAAGCTTATGTTTGTTCCTAGTGTTTAAGGTATGAACATCCTTATTCTTATTAAAGCTATTTATGTTTTTATACATTTTCATAAATATATTGCGATGCCAAAGTTAATATGTTTATTTATTTAAATTTTTCTCTGAGGGACTCTTTACAATTTAGGTTCTAAATCGCCGGTACGGCTCTCTTTTGCAAAACAAATATAGCTTCAATATCAGTCGCATTACCCCATAGCAAAATTCCATAAGACATTACGCTATGAAAGTAACTAAAATACACTAACCTAGCTGTCTCAACATCTTTGCTTGCTAATTTAGATATATGGGAGCCCCATTGAAGTTTCGCGTCAATAGTAATACCAAGAAAAACAGTGGTATCCACAAGACTCAAATCCTCCACATTGGTTTTCGAATGTTTTATAGCAAATTGTTGGCGTTAAACCAATGTACTAGTTTCGATAGAGCATTATTTACATCGTCATATTTAATTGACTGCCGTTTCAGTTTGAAAATTAAAGAGGTATCGTCAGCAAATAATACTATATCGTGATTGTCCCCTACAAGATAAGGTAAGTCATTAATATAGATTAAGAACAGGAATGGGCCAAGAATCGAGCCCTGAGGAACGCCCATTGATACTACCGATCCGGAGGAACCTTTACCATTGATGACGACTTTTTGAGTTCTGTTACTTAAATATGAAGTAATAAGTCTAAGCGCCAAATTCAGATTAAAAAATAGGTTCTCGAATGGCAAAAGAAAAATGACAGTAGAGAATTATGACCATATTTTGTGGACATTGTAGAAGGCAACTATGGCAAATGACAGGGATGGTACACATTACAGACAAATTTTGAAAAGAAAAATCATGTTTAAAATAATAATTATCAAACATAAATTCGCTCAAGTATATGTTTTCCCACATAGCATCGTATCTGCAAAATTCTAAAACTTAAACTAAAAAACCTCATTGCGTTGATGTTTCACTCGTGTAGCTCTTCGTTGAAAACGTTGTTGTAGATTATTTTTCATAGGAAAGGGGGCAAGCTAGCATATGGCTCACCTGATGGTAAGTGATTACCGCAGCCCATGAACAACTGCAACACCAGTAGATTTACAGACGCGATGCCTGCCTTTTAAAAAGGAGTACGCCCTTTTCTTGTAGGTCTCTAGGTCGTATCGGTCAGGAAAAATCTCAGAGTTTTTTTTAAATCACACATTGGTGGACCGCCAGTCATCCAGATGGTATGGATGGTATCGCGAGTTTTGTCACGATGTGCGATGGTGAAATTGTGCGGCTGGAATTAGTCCGAAGATTCTAGAAGAGAAGAAACTAAATATAGCCTTATTTTGTTACTGTATTTTAAGCATTCAGACGGGGTTTTATAATGGACAAAGATAAATAATACTACTAGGAATGAAGTGAATGTCAAAAGCTTTTTAATTAATAAAAAAGTTGCATTTAACTGATTGCCATGGTCTGGAAAATAAAGGACCCATTATTAAGTGAGACTTATAACAAAAAAGAATGTGTCAACTGTATTACTTCCCTAGCATGTCCTAAAAGGCGAGTAAAAGAAATTAGTTAACTTTTTTATAAAGAAGAGGAGGTAAATTTTTATACGCGGTAGAGCCATGCTGCAGCTATATTAGTAGTATAATTGTAGCACGAATGAGTCGGCTCGACTGGGGAAGGACTACGCTCTCACAGAATACCAGCGTAAAATAGCAGCTTAACGCTGCTGTGTTTTGTATGGTGAGTGTAGAGAACCGAAGACCCTTTTTACTGGAAAAGAGGCATTCCATTTTAGTCCTCACGGGTGACAACGCATCTGCATTTTGATTATTTATTGAAGATAGTTATAAATGTCTATAGGTCACAGCAACCACTTACCATCAGGTGGACTGTGCGCTCGTTTGTCACTTTATCCTATAATAAAAAAAAATCTATTTTACATATGCCATTGTGTGAGTATTAGAGTCGGTTCTACGGAGTTATGTGACAACATATATCAAAGATCTTACAGCGTCACGACCTGGGGCTTGATTTTCGTGAGTGGTACACTTAAGTCGCGATAAGAAATGAAAGATTGGTCGTTCTACAAGACGCGGCTTTTTAGTACTGTTTTCTTGGTGCCAATGTTATTACACACTGCTGGTGCGAATATTGAATGTTATTGTGTCCTATAATTGTTTGTTAAAAACGATTACGATACTGTATTATCATATACAAAGTGTTACGCATGTAATCGCCAAGGCTATGCAGAGCCTGTTATTTTTTTGTTATGAGAAAGCCTAATTTGATTTAATTTAGTCTTTTTTTGCAATGAAGTAGACGATATGAATGACAAGCTCGTGGAAACTGTCCATGCGGTCGGAGCTAAGTTTTACAAGACCCGCCGCAGTAGAACACAAAACCTCTCCGATCACACTCTTAATCTCATGGCTGTTAGACGGGAAATGAAGCTGCAGTCTTCAACAGATCTCCAAATGCATGCGGCGGGACTTACGCAACTTCAATACAGCTTGTATTGAAGAAGCGATCGAGCGGAACCAAGGCTTCAAAGTCTTTGCGGCAGCATCGTTTCCGCGACATCTAAGATTTTGAGTGAGATTGAGAGGTTCTATGGGCAGCTGTACACGTCATTGTTGGAGCCACACGCAAGTGTGAGTAACGATCCAAGAGCGAGTCTTTTCCGACACTATTCCGACGATATCCCGGACGTCAGTCTGAACGAGATCAGAATGGCTTCCCAGCACCTTAAAACGGCCAGTCCCCGGGTGAGGATGGAATTACAGCGGAGCTTTTGAAAGCGGGTGGAAAACCGGTACTTGAAGTCCCTCAGAAGCTCTTTAATTCCGTCCTTCATGGTGGCACTACTCCGGAGGCGTGGAGCAGAAATGCGGTGGTCTTGTTCTTCAAGAAAGGCGACAACGCTCTCTTGAAGAACTATAGACCGATTTCCCTTCTGAGCCGCGTCTACGTGCTGTTTTCAAGAGTTGATACGAATCGTCTCGCACGCAGACTTGACGACTTCCAGCCTCCCGAACAAGCCGGTTTTCGAAAAGGCTTCAATACCATAGACCACATACACACCCTTCGGCAAATTGTACAGTAGACAGAGAAGTACAATCTGCCACTTTGCCTTGCGTATGTGGACTATGAGAAAGCCTTTGATTACGTCGAAATTTGGGCGGTGCTGTAGTCCCTTCAGCAATACCAAGTTGACTGTCGGTATATCGAAGTGCTGAAGTGTTTGTACAGAAGAGCTACGATGGCTATCCGAGTACAGAATCAGAGTACGAAACTTATCCGACCTCAGAGAGGTGTAAGACAGGGTGACGTCATATCCCCGAAACTCTTCACCGCTGCATTGGAAAACGTTTTCAAGCTTCTGGACTGGAAAGGATGCGGTATTAACATCAATGGCGAGTACATCACTCACCTTCGATTTGCCTACGATATAGTCCTTTGGCAGAATAGCTGGAGGACCTAAGCACTATGCTCAATGACCTCAATAGTGTTTCCCAACGGATAGGTACTTAAGATGAACATGGACAAAACAAAGATCATGTTTAATGTCCATGTCACACCTATACCGGTAGTTGTAGGGAGCACTAA